TGATTCCTCTCCTTCTGGGCTATCCTAACAAAATGAGAAATGTGCTAGAGGAACTCAAAGGGAAAAAATGGGTATTTGAAAACATTTAACAGAATRTATTATCATGGGCTCAGGATGTGGCTCAAGTGGTAGCGCACTCGCCTGGCATGCATGAGGCACTGGGTTCAATCCTCAGCACCACATAAAAAAAAAATAAAATAAAGATTAAAAAAAAGAATATGGAAAGATCTCCCATTTAAAAAAAAAGAATATATTATCATTGCACTTTGTTCCTGGAGAGCATGTAGGAGGTAACAACAGCCAAAAGAAGAAAGGGAGAAAGGACTTTCTAACACAAAAAAATAGCATGTATGAAGCCCCCAGTTCTAAAAGAGGTAAGCTGTCAATATCATGGAAAATATATTATGACCAAGAGTCAGGATGGACCCATAGAGGTGAAGCTGGAGAGCTGATTGAAACCAGACCGTGAAGAGCTTCAAAAGCCACGTTTATGGAGAAACTGGTCCTGGAGTGACAGCAGAACATGCAGCACATGCATATAGAACTGAAGCAAAGTTTCTCTGCATCTGATGGCAGATGGGGTCTGGGTAAGTTGCAGGCCTTTCCAGTCAAGAAAGCCTGTATCAGGGTGAGCAGCCAGTCAAGACAGGGAATGCCTGCCCGTGTCCGCTCTGAGGGTCATAGCCTACAAAACCTGATTCTCCTCACTACCATGGAGTAGCATATTGCAGCTCTCAATGGTGGCCATGCCCTCCAGTGCTGCAGCAGAGCCAAGAACAGACACAAAATCCTGCAGGATGAGAGGGGACCCAGCAGAAGTTTGCCTCTTGGTTGTGCTTGTCTAGGAGTTTATATAACCACCGGGTCAACACTACTGGTCCAGATTGAGACTAATCAGGTTTTGGAAAAGTGCCAACACTGTTGGTCCAACTTTATGCTGATCAGATCTTGGATAGTATTAATGCTATCGTTAGCCCTCAAGTAATTTTCCTGCCATCTCCATTCAGGTTTGCCCCCACTTGTGTCTTCTCGTCATTGATCAGGCTCACCCTGGCTCACCTGGACCCTAGCTCTGGGCCACAGTCCCCCCGCCCAGCATGGCAGGATCCACCCAGTGGTAGCCCAAATTCCCTGTGCGCTCCAGCCCACCCAGGCTGCCACTCTGGGACAAAGGCTTGGATTCAGAACCAACTATCAGTTTTGCTTTATGGAAGATAATCTATCCACAGCGAACCTCCTCAAGCCAACTTTTATCATTTTTACTTCTCTTACTACAGTCAAGGTCTGAGATCACCTGATATCAGTAGAGATGGGGCACTGTGGCCAGGGAGCTGATGATGGTTGGTAAATSGAGCATTCGTTGAGTTCTTACAGTGAGAAGGAGCTGAATCTTACTCTTCAATGGAGTCTGTGGAACGCAGGTGCTAAGCTGGGCAGCTCAGCCATCCACATGCTGGATTAGGTAGAGAGCGCCTCTCTAAGTCACTTGTCAGTCAAAAGCTTGTGGATACGTATCCAAAGGCCCCACAGTACGTCTGGCAAATGGGCGCACCCTCCCCTGTGAGACCCAGGATTTGTCATTTTGGTTCCAGATCTTTTCTTTTATGGTCTGTAAGAGAAATCCGAGCCCAGGCCAGATTCTGAGAAGAACGCGTTATTGCAGCCAAAGGAAGAAAAATGACAAGCACATGGCAGAGAAGAAAAGCTGGACCCGTCTCAAAGGTATACTTCAGCCCTGGCCACTCACAAAGCCAGCAGAGAACAGTCCATGAAATAAAAATGCATAAAGTAAACAAACTGTCCTCCATGGARCCACGCTTAAATTATAGCAGATGAAATTTAGAGTTCAATTTAAAAAATATATTCTCTGAAAGGAAAAAAAAAAGTGTTCAAACTGAAAGAGTGTAAGAGGTGCCTTTTTGAAAGGCGAGGACTCCTTTTTAAAGACTCACTAGCTCCGTGGTAGATTTTTTTTTTCTCTTTGTTTTTTCAATCAGTAATCACATGTGACTGTCTATCACAGGACAAGCACTGTGCTAAGCTTTGGTGACACAAAGACTTTTATTCTGTGACCTCGGGGACATTCTCCAATGTCTCCAGAGTCAGTGGCACCATGTTCAGGCACTTGGTCCAGGAGGTTGGCGGGAAGTATCCTAAAAATCATTCAAAGTGGTGTCCTCGTGTCAACCAGGCTGTGTCATCATTTCAGGAGACGTCCTGCTCCTTTTTTTGAAGTGTCTCCGGTTTGTAAGCGTGACAGCCAGTTGGCAGGCTAGCATTTTCAGTTTGTAATTTTCAACACACAAAGCCTCGTTTTAGTTCTAACCTGCAGGGATGACCATCCTGGCCTCCTCGTCCTTCTCCTGCCTCACTGCCGCAGCTGCCCCAGCAGAGAGCAAGCATCTGCGTGCACTCAGGGCAACAGCAGGCATGATGCTGTGGCCAGGATGACCAGCTGTCCCCGGGGACCCATGCTAGACCAGCTAGCAGAGGTGCCTTTGTGGACATGGGGATAGAGGGGCGGATCTCCTGATCTCTGKACTGGCCAGCAGGGTTCTTCCCACATACAGAATCCTACAGCCAGTTTTGAACAAATGTATATTGCTTTTGCACCACAGTAAAGTTGGAAAATCTTTTGTGAAGCACTCATCATAAATCAGGGACTGACTCTATTCAATCCTGATCCCAGAGGCATCGTGAGCCTCTCAACCCTTAGAATCAAAGCATGAGGGAAAATCTGAATTCTTGGCTCATTCCGTTGTTTTAAAAACAAATAATAGCTATGCCAGTAAAACTGTCATTTTCAGTCAGTTTCCCAATTTAAGGAAGAAAAACAAGGAGTATAAAGCTTTTTCTGCCAATCTAACTCAGATGGGAGAATCTGTCTCCTCGGGCTGGTGTGTCTGATCACTAAGGACAGCAACCATGAACGTGGTAGCTGTTTTTATGGATATTCTCCCAGAAATTACAATGCTGCTTTTCACTAGACACCCATTCGCTCCATGGTGGAAGCCACAAGGAACCCCTGCACGTGGCACCTCTGGTGCACACAAAGCCCAGGCACACACACAGCGAGCTTCACAAGTTTTCTTGCTGTGTGAATCCAAACAGGTAGAACCTACAGATCAAGGCCATTGAGCATCATTTATAAAAACCAACCAAAACGTTCTTTGTTCCTCTTAATGTCCTGGTCTTCAGCAGATGTCATCCCAGAGTGTGGCAGGGAGACAAATCGCTTCCTTCCATATTTGTCCCCACCATCCTTTTCACCAGGAAGTCTTTGGGCCATGTGTTATTTTGCTTTTCTTGGTATTTTTATGTTTTCCTCTCAGTGTTTTGTGGGCCTACCAACAAACCATTAATGAGGATCCCAGATGTTCACGTTTGGCCAGAATCCAGTGTTTTGTTTAGTGTCTAATTCCATTGATAGTAGCCATCTCCATTCACTCCGCCAACAGGAAGACAGATTTTTTCATTCATATAAAAAAAGGAAGAAACGGTGCAATCCCTTGAGTACGAACTACCCCCTTCCCTCCTCTGCCTCAAGATCCTGGATTCCTCCCGCAATATCAGACACAAACAGTAGGCTGGTAAAGAAGTCCCTGCCGCTCAGGCAGGGCATGAGCCTATGGTCTGATCAAGAATTTGGGAGACAGTGGGTATGATCTCACATTAGTGGGAAGAAATGAACATCTCCAAGGTTTTCCCCTAACCCTGCAGTTCAAAAAGCTGCTTTTATTATCAGCTTTCCTACGAGATCATTTCTTGTCTGGTGGTTTATATAGAGAAGAAAAGGCTCCAGTGAGGATTGCCCACCTCCACCTCCCCAACCCCACACCCAGGATTTATGAGAGTCTGTCCTTGGGCTGAGCATCTGTCAGAGATTTAAGGGATGGGTGAGAAGGGCCCTTTCCGTTCTCCAGGCTGCTTTGCACTTGAAGCTTTAAACCCTCATGAACTGCCTGCCCCCCTCCGCCCCCGCCTCACTACGTCCTGCCCTAAGGATGCAGTGGTCACAGTGGGAAGCAGAAGGCAGATTTTTTTGCTGACTCAGCATGAAAAAAGTAACCCACATTTTCTGGGTTTAGAGCTTAACATCGAAAGAACACATTCAGGTGTGTTTCAGTTCAGTTAATAAAAGAAGGTGGAAGATGTTGAATATTATGTAAGTACTGAAATTTTCTTAGATTTGAATGCTCTTTGGGTGGACATGTGCCATTTTAGTTTTTGCAATTCATTTATTACCATTGGAAGGTGTTGACTGATTTTGACCTCTTGTCTGTGAGTCGGTAAGGACTTTGAGCAAATTTCATCATGGAGATATGCACCCAGTGTAAGTTTGAAATGCTGTTTCCATGACCCACTGTGGGGTGGAATTTTAAAGTCTGGGTAGATACAAGTGTGTCCATGCAGGACCTTCTTCTACACTGTGCCAGCCCCCTGCCCACAGCAGTACCCAACTCTGAGGGCAGAAAAAAAAAGAGTGAAGCAAGATGTTTAATTCTAAAATCTCTGGAACTTTCCAGCAGCAGGCCATGAGAGCTGGGAGCAGAACACTGTGCCCATGCTTCCAGTCCAAATTCTTGCCGTCTTTCCTCTGGGGAAAAATAAAGCAGTTCTTTTTGCATACTTTGCAAACCGTATTTCCAGCTTTTTGGACTTTCTTGCCTGCAGCCGATCGGATTCAGGGGTGCATGTGGACAGCCATTCCCAGAACAGCAGCGACGTGCAAACTCCGATGTTAGGCCACCTTCCCTTCTGAAGTGGCTACACTTACAACCAGGGCCCAGCCACCGAGGGGCAGGCACAATTTCCCTCCGGGGCAATTCCGCGGTCTGGTCTGGAGCAGCCCTCCCGCTGCCCTGGAGGGCAGGTCCTGTGGGCGGCCCCTGCACCGCGCCTCCGGTCCCCTCGGCGGGGTGGCAGCCTGCTGGCGTTTTCCTGTTTGCTCACTTGGCTTTCCTTCCCTTTCCTTCCCTGGGGGCCTGCTGGGCTGGCAGCGCCGTGGTCCAGCAGACCAACTGCAGAGCCTCSGTGCCTTCCAGCAAGGGCAGCAGCAGCGGAAGCAGCAGCAGCAGCAGCAGCTCCTCCAGCGACTCCGAGAGCAGCTCGGGATCCGACTCGGAGACCGAGAGCAGCTCCAGCGAGGGAGAGGGCGGCAAGCCCCCGCACTTCTCCAGCCCCGAGGTAAGCGGCGCCGCCACCACTGCAGCCACCTCCCTGCCCCGCCCCCAACCGGGCACCACCCGGAGCCAGGAAGGCCGGGGGCTCCTCCTTGTCCCCACTCYGCCCCCTCCTCCCACTCTCCTAATGACACCACTTCCTTTGAAGTTCAAAGCATCATCTTTCACTGTCCAAAACTCTCTGTTTGACTTCCAGAAATTTCCAAGTATGTTGTAAACATCACCAACAGGAAATAACCTATGGATGGGGGTCTCCCTCGGGGTCAGCTGAGGCAATCACCAGACAGGAAAGTTCGCCACCTGGGAAGCGGGACCTCCAGTAAATCACAGGGACAGAGAGTTTATGGATCAGGCATGCTCAGAGTCTTACCTTTTTTTGCAGTTTGTCATGGATCAGAAGAACAAGGGCTATAAATATTAATAAAACCTTAACTGTGTTTTCTTGGTGAAAATATAAAAGGGAAAATTAGCATCAACCTACAAATAATAATGAAACCTTTTACAACCATGACCAGTATCTATGGGTAAAGATTTAGGTGCCTCGTATAAAAAACATTACAAGGTCCTAATAAAAACCATTGCTGTTTCTACTTTAAAGTGGAAAGGGGGGAAATTAAATAGTAATTCAGAGCCCAGAGATTCTTGGGTGAGGGCCCAGAGAAAACTTCTCAAGTCTGGGAGCCATGAGTGTAGGTTTTGTTTTCTAAAGAAGGAATAAAAGACAGCTTCTTCCCAAGTGTATAAACAGGTGACATCACTGTGGATTGCGGGTTTGATTTTTTTACTGACCACCCTCTGTGTCATTTGAGGGGGGCCAGATTCCTAAATAGGCTCTGACGACAAACCAAAGCCACTAACGCAAGCCCAGGGCCTTGGGAGGCCAGCAGCCCTCTTGCTGCTTCTGTACCTGTGCCCCCCCCCCAAAGGCACTTCCACAGAGGGACTCTTACAGTGCCTCTGGATTTTCTTCTTATCTCTCCACAGTCCCCCTTTCCTCCTCAGCATCTTTCTGCTCTCTGACAAACTCTCCACTCATTTGAAATAAGGCCCCTCTCCAGCACATGATCTCCTTGATGTGCCTGTTTCTCTATCTGCCCACCTACCCACCCACATAAGGTAAAGGCCCTTAGTGGCATTACCCTGTGAGTGCCCCATAGCTTATTTTAACCCTGGCTTTTTAGTCGAGAGACTTAACGTTGTCATTCCTCCCTCACAATTTCATTCATTCACTCACTCTGTGTTTGTTCAACCAATATTTAAAGAGCCATAGACATGGGGCTCAACTCTGGAATACAGCAGTCATATCAGAAAATGCCCTGTCTTCACAGATCTAACATCCTAACAGGGATCATTCAAAACAGAAAAAAAAATATAGTAGTTAAATAGAATCAAGTAGAGGAATGAAGCAGGCTTTATTAAACCTGCTTTGTGCTACAGTTGGTTGAGAAATTCCAGAACATCAAATTATAAGAAACGACTCCCAGGGACAGCTCAAAAGCCAGGCGTGAGGGACCTGGGTTGGATAATAAGGGGTCTTGTCTGTGAAGGGAAGACCTCCCTGTCGGGGCTCTTCTTTGTGACTACAGGTTGAATATACCAGCGAGCGAGTGCTGAGTCTTGTTTACACACTGAGATGTGAATCCCAGAGTTACTGAATCTGCTGAAACCTTGCCAAGAGCAGTACATTTGTGAAGTAAATTTAAGCAGAGTCTTGCTAAAAGTCACTGAGATCATTACGTGGCCTTGACCTCTTGGATGGTGAAAGGAGAACTGCTGCCCTTCTCATGGCAGGTCTCAGAGGCCCTGGTGAAGGAGAGGGAGCCAGTCTTCTAGAAATCTGAGCTCCCCAAGGATGCTTCTTTGCTCCTCCAGGTGCAGGGAATGCAGAAGTGGCAAACGGTGTGTTAGCCACACTAGACGTCATTCCTTCCTACTGGAAAGGGAGGTATTTATTGGAGTCCAAGTCAGGTTCTCTGACATCTTTCCCAAGGTTAATGCCGACATACCCCCTGGAGGAGGGAAATGGGTTTGCAGGCTGAAAATCGCTGTCATGGGAAGTAGCAAGATCCTGCTCCTCCTTCCAAGCCTCCCTGCTTCTCTCTTAGGGAGCAGACCCCCATAGCCTCACAAGCATCGAGGCCTGTTTCCTGAACTCCACACATCACTGGGGCTCCTGGTTGCTGTACACCTCACATTCCACTGCACAGACCGGATGGTGCTGCCTTGCAGTGAGACGCTCTGGCCCTCCCTTCCCCTCCACGCCATCCTGACCCAGGAGTAGAAAGAGGCACTTCTGAGTTTTCAAGGCACCTTGTCCTCCCTCTCAATGTGCCAGAGCTGGGAAACTCCGCTGTGCTCCACTGAATTTCACGCAAACTGTTCTTTATGGCCCTGATTGCTGAACAGCACTTCCTGTTCTGTGAATCCCTATCATGTAAGGCCTCCTTGGCAGGCTGCCCTGGAAGGGCCACTGTAAACATCTCCATGGCTGCGGCGAATGCCCTCTGCAGGGCCTGACCTGTGCTCAGTCCTTCTCAGCCCCATTTCTTTCCCATGGGTTTTATCTCAGGAGTTTTCCTGGATCACGTGCCCTCCTGTGCCAGGAAGAGGCTCACTGGACTGGCACGTTGACGCCTGCACATGGGGGTGGGGGATCAAGCTTGGTCAGGTCGTTGTGAGTTCTGGGATAAAGTAAGCCGATCCCATTTCTTTACACCTATGCACTTTAGGGCATCACCCTGCCCTAAAAATTGCTCATGGAAACACAGGTTTTCAATGTGGCTTTTCCCAAATGGACCCAGCATGGCAGCCTTTCTTCATGAAATACATAAACTAAAAGCGTATTTTGGAAGCTGCTGCCCCAGATCATTCTTTTTATTTTTTAAGGGGAGGGTACCAGGGATTGAACCCAGGGGCACTCACCCACTGAGCCACATCCCAGCCCTATTTTGCATTTTATTAAGAGACAGGGTCTCACTGAGTTGGTGAATGCCTCCCTTTTGCTGAGACTGGCTTTGAACTCTTGATCTTCCTGCCTTGGCCTCCCAAGCCACTGGGATTACAGTGTGCGCCCCTGGGCCAGGCTCCAGATCATTCTTAAGAATCAGTGTAATTGCTGGTTTGTTCAACAAGGCTCTTGCTAATCAGAAGCTGCTAAGGTCCACAGTAGTAAGTGCTAGGAAGGACACAGAGGAGCAGATACRTGGTGGGGAGCTCCTGCATAAGTCAGAAAAATAACCAGGGAAGAGAGTTGCCGCTGACCTCTAGCACACCAAGCCAGAAAGCAAATAGAAACATCAAGCAGAAACCCCGGATGGCGCTCAAGAGGTGGGCCACAGCCTGCATGCCTGGTGCACTAATCTGAGGTCCTGGATTTTCCCTCTGTTTTGCCACTTAACTCTCTGATATTTCACCTTCCTTGGCCACAATCACCTCCTCCCCAGAATGTAGGACATTTCTCTCCTGCCTGATCTGTGAGGTGTTTGTCAGGAACAAATGGYACATTTTGATTGACTGCTCACTCACTGGGAGCAGTCATAGTGATCTCTCTTCCGGGCCTTCTGTGGATACTGCAAGGGGCCTGTCCTGGCCAGAAAGAAGTGTTGGACATTGTTAAAGACTCAAGGCATGTACACATGGAACAGATATGAACATCAAAAGCCTGTGCTATTGAGTAGATGGAAGGCAGCAGGCATTGTTTGGAGAGTTAGTGGTGTTTGCTCCAAAAATCAGATCTAATGCTATTGTTTTAGGTTGAGGACTGACATTTCTCAAAGGAATGACCCCACACACACACACACCAGAGAGTAGTGGGAGAGTTTAGTGAAGCAACCATGCAGAGAATCTGGTCTTTACACCTAGGCAAGTACAAGTTCAGTCTTGGTGAAGCCTGGGAGTTGTGCAGCTTCGGAYATGTCACTTAACCTTTCTGAGCCTCATCTACAAATTAAGGGAGATACTATTTCTTATCTGTGAAGATTAAATTAGATAATACGTGTAAAGTGGCAGGCATCTGGTAGGTGCTCCAGCAATGAAAGCTGATCGCAGGATGATATATTCTTTGGATGACAACCAGGGGAACGTGGCTTTTGTTTGAGTGGCAATAGGAGGTCATCATAGATCCTGGAGAAAGGGAGCGTGATTTAGTGGTGTATTGAAAATGGTACTTCGGACTGACTTGTTTGTCTGTGAAGTGCAGAAAAAAATGACCCTCAAACACATCAGGCAGGGGGCCCATGCGAAAAGTATTAAATTCTGCCCTTCCCTGTTCATACTGCTGCTAGAATGTTTCAGCGTGCCTCTCACTCTGCGCTAAAGACTCCCATGTACTTACGTAAGAGGTGTGAGCTGTGGAAGGCTCGGAGTGGGAGACAACARTGTTCACTGGGAGGGCAGCATGGGTGCCATGCTCTGCCCCACGCATGTGAGCCCTCCCCCAGAAGCCCTGCACCCTTCTGCAAGGGTGGCCGCAGCCCAAACACTAGGCTCATTTGTGGGGGGAAGCTGAGGCACAGCTTTAAAAGGGATTGACTCCCCGGTGGTCACATAATGGGAAAATGGGGGTGGGGAGATGAGATTAGAAGCCATGAATTTTTGCCACCCAATTAGCTTCTGGGCCTTCTGTGCTCAGGGAAGGTGAGGGTGCCCCTGGGCCAAAAAGCCATTGGGCATCCCCCTSTCCTGCTTCCTCTGACTCCAGGAGGGAGTCTTCCCATTACAGCTTCAGGTGTGCTCTTTAGGGGTCCCTCCTTGCCTTTCTCTAGAGGAGAAGCCAAAATGAGAACTGAAACATAACAGCTCAGAGGTGCAAAAAAGGGACAGGTTGAGCCCCTCCAGTCTGAAATCTGAAATGTTCCAAAACCCAAAACATTTTGAGAACTGACCTGAGGCCACAGTGGAAAATTCTGATACTTTGTTCCAYATACATCATTATTAAAAATATTATATAAAATTACCTTCAGGTTGTGTGCACAAGGTGCTATAAAATATAAATGAATGTTGTGTTTGGGAATGGCTCCATCCCTAARCTTATCACATCATGAGTGTGCAAATATTCCCAAACCAAAATGTGCAAATATTCCCAATCCAAAATGCATCTGATCCCCAGCATTTTGGATGTGGGGAGCTCAACCAGTAGTATATCTTTGTTCTTTCGCCCCTTGCTCTGGAGCCCCGTTTCTTTGGGAGACATGAAAATAAGCAAAGATGCCCATGTTCCACCCTCGCAGCCCCTACTCTGGCCTCTACTGGATTTTTCTTGCTCCTTCAAGTCACTGGACACCCTGTGCTGGTTTTCCCTGGAATGCAATCAGTCTCATATGTTAGGAGCAGGATATCCACAGTCCCTGCCACCGCTTTGGTTGGCCAATCTCCACACTGTGTGGCCAGTCCTCCTGGTCCCATGCCCCTCTGGCCCATTCCTGAGCAGCCCCCCCCCCCAATTCTTCCAGGCTCAGCTAGGACCCTGTTGTCTCACCCCTGTCAGATTTGTGACCATACCCAGAGCCTCAAGTGCTGTTCCTTTTTTTTTTTTTTTTTTTAGAGAGAGAGAGAGAGAATTTTAATATTCATTTTTCTAGTTTTCGGTGGACACAACATCTTTGTTTGTATGTGGTGCTGAGAATCGAACCCCGGCTGCCAGGCGAGCACGCTACCGCTTGAGCCACATCCCCAGCCCAAGTGCTGTTCTTAATACAGACCTCATTGTTGAAAACAGCTGATTTTCATAAATCAGAGGAATTTTTTGAAATTTATCATGTTAAAAGCAAATTTTTCTCCTACAATGGATCCTAACTCTAGACTTTACCTGATCAAATTTAAAATATAAAACTAGAGGACGGTATATCTCAGTGGTAGAGTGCTTGCCAAGTATGCATGAGGCCCTGAGTTCAATCCCCAGCCCTGGCGGAGTGGGGAAAGTATTGAGCAATAACTTCTTGTTCTAGAATGGTATCTCTGCTCACCCTTAAACAACAGATACAGCAGACTCAGGGGTGAGGAGGCCATATGGAAGGAAAAATACTTCACCTTGACCCTTAAAACATTTCTGGCTCAAGATCTACCCCTCTCAGTACACCTGTTATCTACTAATGGTCTTCATATTATTTGGAATCATCATTTACTCCTTTAAGATTTTGTTTCCTAATGCCTTTTAACATCCCTCTGGAACAGGAGAGTTCTCTCCTGCTAAATGGGCCGCCTTCCCAAAGTTAATGTTTCTACAGCGAATTAACTATGCCCTCGATTTGCCTTTTACAAAGATTATATGCTAACTCTTTGGGCTCCTATATAGGTACCTTGATTTTTTCCCAAGGTTTGGTCTCACTAAAAATGGGTGCTTGAATGCCCAGGGTCTCTGAATTATTATTCCCCACTTAAATTTCAAGGAATCTCAAATAGGACATGTGTGTGTGTATGTATTCTTTTTAAATGCTTGGAAGTGATTGGAATGGTTTCCATCAAGGCACAGTGCTAGCCCCCTGTTTTTTCAAGTAGACTCCAATGGGCCGTGCTGATATTTAATTGCTCAGGACCAGCCAGAGCGGCACCACCCTCCAGGCACCCTGAGGGCCAAGGGGCTGCCGCAGTAGCCCTGGCTTGCATCTCCCGTTTGCTGGCAGCCCGCTCTTTTTTTTGCCTATGCACCCAGAGGAGTACAGTCAAGGTAAAAAAAAAAAAAAAAAAAAAAAAAGACAGCCCGGCCCTTTTTCAAGGAAGCTGTAATAAAAGGTGTTTTGTTTGTCGCGGGTTTTCTCTTTCAGGCTGAACCGGCATCCTCTAACAAGTGGCAGCTGGACAAATGGCTCAACAAAGTTAATCCCCACAAGCCTCCTCTTCTGATCCAGAATGAAAACCACCACGGGCCCGAGAGCAATCAGTACTACACCCCGGTGAAAGATGAAGTGCAGGACTGCGGGAAGCTTCCCGACGTCTGCCCGACCAGCCTGCGGGAGAAGGAGCTCAAGAGTGCCTGCAAGGAGGAGCAGAGGCCGAGGACCGCCAACAAGGCCCCGGGCAGCAAAGGGGTGAAGCAGAAGTCCCCGCCCGCGGCCGTGGCCGTGGCCGTGAGCGCCCCCGCCCCGCCGCCCGCGGTGCCCGGCGCCCCCGCCGAGAGCGCCCCCGCGCCGGCCCGGAGGTCCGCGGGCAAGAAGCCCACCAGGCGCACCGAGAGGACCTCAGCCGGGGACGGCGCCAACGGCCACCGGCCCGAGGAGCCCGCGGCGGCGGCGGACGCGCTGGGGGCCAGCGTGGTGGTGCCCCCGGAGCCCGCCAAAAGCCGGCCCTGCGGCAACAGCAGAACGGGCCACCGCAAGGAGCTGCGCTCCTCGGTGACCTGCGAGAAGCGGCGCACGCGGGGTCTGAGCCGGATCGTCCCCAAATCCAAGGAATTTATCGAGACAGAGTCGTCGTCTTCCTCGTCCTCCTCGGACTCGGACCTGGAGTCGGAGCAGGAGGAGTACCCTCTGTCCAAAGGCCAGGCCGTGGCCGCCGCCTCCTCTGGGAGCGACCAGAGACTCAAGGAGGCCGCCAACAGCGGCAGCGGCCCCCGCGCGGCCGTGGGCTCCATCAACGCCAGGACCACCAGTGACATCGCCAAGGAGCTGGAGGAGCAGTTCTACACCCTGGTCCCCTTCGGCAGGAACGAACTTCTCTCCCCCTTGAAGGACAGTGATGAGGTCAGGTCGCTCTGGGTCAAAATTGACCTGACCCTCCTGTCCAGGATCCCAGAACACCTGCCCCAGGAGCCCGGAGTCCTGAGCGCTCCCGCGGCCAAGGACGCGGAAAGCGCTCCGCCCAGCCACGCTYTGGACACGCCCACCGAGAAGACTTTGCCAAAATCCAAGAGGAAACGCAAGGTAGTCCTGGGAGAAAGGGGTGTCTGGAAGGGAGGGGACTTTAATTTGTGGGCAAGGGGTAGCGCACAGGTGGGCTGCTGGCTGGGATCGTAGGTGGCAGCAGGAGTTTTCCATTTCCTTAACAAACAATTATATAGTACTTTATGCCAAATGTGTTAAGTACTTAACATCTATAATCCCAGTTAAATCCTTAGGACTGTCCAATGCGGCAAGTATTGTCACTGTTCCCATTTTATAGTTGTGGATAATTAAGCCCTGTCCCAAGGCATGTGGCAATGGTGATACCCAGGTACTAGTGTGTTCAGAGAGACCCAAGCTGGGCACGTGTGRAAGTTGAAAGTGTGGTGAACCCCATTCTTCCCTAGGAGGGATGGGATGAGTTGGTGGTGGATCACTCATCTACCTAAGTTTAAGCCTGACTGGGGTGTGGGATGAGTACTGAAGTCCAAGTCCTCATAGCAGCCTGTAGCATCAATCAGGGAGGGCTTCATGGTGGAGAGGGGCTGGGAGGGCTCTGAGAGGGAGTTAGAATAAGCAGAGGTGGGGGGATGTAATGGCACCMGGAGAGATGAACAGGTGAGGCATTGTGGGAGGGAGAAGGGCAGCTCAAGTACAGGAGCTGGAGCTGCCCCTGGCAACAGACACCAGATGCTCAGGGAATACCTTCATCATAACATAAAGCCAATTTCCAGGATTTTTTGCCCTTCCTATTTCTGTATCTTCAAAAGTAATTTAAACCACAGTGAACAACACAGTAGGTATCAAAGATTGCAAATATTCATGGACAGTTCCAAATTTGGGACAGAGTTGTTACCAGCAATAGTTAACATGCATTTATGTTCCCCAAAGGGATGCCGTTAAAGCACTTTGTACCATTTAATCATTTAGTCCTTTCAACTCTATGAGGCAAATATCATTGTTGTGCCCGTTTTACAGGTGAGGAAACAGAGGTTCTGAAAGCCTAAAGTGATTTACTTGAGGTTATATAGGTCAAAGGGACAGAGCCAGGAATGAACCCAGGCAGTGTCTGGCCCCAGAGTCTCAAAATAAGAAGTCAGTCTGAGGTTTGTGTGGTATTTTTGTTTCCAGAGGGCAGTCTGGTCTGTCAATAGAAAAAGAAGACTGAACACGTGGGTTTTATAAGCTGTTTCCAGTCCCTGATTAAGAGGGTCTAGAGAGTAAGGTTATTGCCTTTTCCTGGCCAGGATAAAGGTGTTCTTCACTTTCAAAGTTGTATGGAAAAAGGAGACAGTCTCCTTATTATAATCATTCCATGACCTGCGAAGGGCACCCATCAGCAGGAAAATTCATCACCAAGTGCTGAAGAATGTGTGTCTTCACATAGTTACATTAAATAACAGCCCTACGAAGCAGAATTGAACCCCTTGCAGCAAAGTTCAKGAAAAGAAATATCTTCAAAAGGTAGCTACTTACCTTTGCGAAAACCARTGACAGTTTTATCAAGAGATTCCAGCATAGTTTCCGTTCACCTTCAGAGCCCACATGGTGGATCCCCCTTTGCTCTGAGAGTACTCACGGGTAGTGGGAAGTATGTGGRTGTGGACACCAGGCTGACCTGACCGCAGATCCCATCTTTGACTTTTTCCTCCTCCAGGGCCAGCTCCATGGACCCTGCAGCAATAAAGCGGCCACACAGGCTCCCATAGCGTTGAAGGTTGTGGCCACCATCTTGAAATTCTTCATTTTRTCTTTGAATTTGGGTCTTGTTAGTGATGGATCATGTGTGGAGGTCCCTCTGTCTACCTGTCCCTTCAGGAAAAGTTTTGCCTGATCTTCAGCCTTCTAGAACCTCCACCCTGTGCAGTCTTCTCCTCCTCCTGGTCTCAGACCWGGGACCATTCAGCCCCCCTGCCCCAGATAGTGCTCAAGTGTAGTCACAGCAAGGATCAAGATTAGGGTCTCCATCTTGCTCAGCCTCAGTCCAGGTAGTGAGGTGATCCACAAGGAAGCTTGCACCGCCCTGGGGTGGCCCATTCACTATGGGTCAGTATTAGGGGTGGTTGGTGCCTAACTGGGCTTTGCCATCCATGCCAGCCCAGAAGATAGGTGCCAGACTGGCACTGGTGGGCCACATGCATATGCCTATCCCAGGGCAGCCCCAGCCCTTGAAAGTCTCCATTCACCCCCAGGGCCCCCAGGTTATCCCCAAATGCAAAGGAGCACAGCATGAAGTCACAAATAAATACCACCATTGACTGTCAAGTTGGGAGACTGAAATGTTTTCTACTTGATCCTTGATGAGGTCATTTGTGGGGTAGGGAGGTTTCTGGGGATTGAGCTCAGGGACCCTTAACCACTGAGCCACACCCCCAGCCCTTTTTCATTTTTATTTTTATTTTTATCTTGCTAAGCTGCTTAGAGTCTCACCAAGTTGCTGAGGCTGGCTTTGAACTTGCGATCCTCCTGCCTCAGCCTCCCAAGCTGCTGGGATTATAAGCGTGAGCCACCCAGCATRAAATCACTCTTCCTGCTTTTCGGCYCAGTATTTTCATTTTGCACTAGATCTCAGAAATTCTGKGGTTAGCCCTAGCCTCCTGGGTGACCTCAACCAGCTGATCTTSTCTTCTCTGAACTTCATTCTCTTCACCATAAAATGGTGTCAGRGTCGCACAACACATTCAAACCATACAATTTCATTAGCTCATTTCTTCCCTGCTCCTGTTTCCCCCCATTTTTCCCTAGGCACCCTGCCTTCCTTATTGCTTGTTGGCAATTTTTTATTGAATAAATTGAATTTATTTTTTGTTGAATAAATTGATTCAACAAAAAAATTCAAAAATTTTTTTGTTGAATCAATTGATTAATCGCCTAGGAATCAGTGTGGATGTTATCTCTGAGCTTGATGGATAAATGGGTAGGCTGATGGAAATAAATATATAAGAAGTATGCAGAAGCAGATGTTGATARACCTATGAATAGAAAATAAATCTAACCCTATAGATATACATAAGCATACAGAGAGAAGTGCAGAAAGATGTACATATAAAGTCCATAATGGTCTGTATTTAAATAGCTGTGGTATCGTGACTTTTTTTATTTTAACTTGCAAAATTTTATTTACCACTAAGCCTGACACCAGCTTTACTCACAAAACCTAATGAGTCTTCAACAAGCAATGACACAGGAGAAGTGAAAGGACGTTTTTGTAGCATTCTGTACTCAACATCCTGGGGTGTGAAGATCCCAGGCAATGCTGGGTGTTGAGAGGAACCCATAGACCTGTCTGTCCAAGGTGCTGGGTCTCCCCTTGCTGAAGCCCTAGAACTGAGGACCACGGATTCAGAGCTTTGGTTGGGGTCCTCCGTGGGGCCACTATTACAGTGTGAGGCTCTGAGATACCGATGGCAGAGGCCGTGCCACACTGTCCCAGCTAGAGAGAAAATAAAAGGTCAGGGATGCTCCCTCAGGGGCTGACACTTGTCTCCTAGAAAACACCACAGGAAGCCCTGAAGGTCCCACCCTGGACTGGGCTCCTGCCRTCTCCCGGAAGTACTCCTCTTCTGGACTGCCTTGCTATCGCACCCTGACACATGTCCCACAGTCACGGTGATAAGAGTCCAGTCCAAGTCCCCTAGTGTGAAAAGGTACTTTCAGATGTTACCGGCTGGGAGTTGTGAACTCGAAGTAAGGCATCTTGGCTTGCCATCCACAGAAGGTGCGGCATTCAAGGTGAAAAGGTGCAGACCGGCCGCCACCCTTACCCCAGTAAGCCCCGGGAATATGCATTTTTTGGACCTTATCCTGATGCCTTGAGAGGCCAGGATGGGTGATGCTCAGGCTACAGTGTGGGTTCAGAATAGGTTTGCTAGGGGGGCTGGGGCTGTAGCTCAGTGGCAGAGCGCTTGCCTCACCTGTGTGAGACGCTGGGTTTGATCCTCGGTMCCACATTAAAATAAATAAATAAATAAAGCTATTGTGTCYGTGGACAACTAGAAAATATTAAAAAAAGAAAAGAATAAGTTTGCTTGGGAGAAATAAATCCTGAGCCAGTGGCAACATTAAAAATGTCCCCTCCCAAATTTTGATCATGACATCATGCCCTTCCTCTCAATAAGCTGTCAATACTAAACCCGTACAGGTTTCCTGAGCTGTTCAAGCTCAGCCACTAGTACTCAGGTTCTCTCTGAGAGACACCCCCCTCCCCCGCCCAACCCTGAGGCCTTGCTCTTTGGAAGTAAGTGTCTTGGAGCACACACCATGTCATGACCCCTCAGAATCCAAAGCTGATTGGCTTTTGCTTATTTCCACACAGTGTGACAACGAAGATGACTACAGGGAGATGAAGAAGGCCCAGGGGGAGAAAGAGAGCTCTACTCGGCTAGCCAACTCCGCCAATAATACTCTGTCTTCAAACCACTGCAGCATGAACATCAACAGGTACGCATGTTCCCTGAAGGTGGGCGTGAGCCGGAGAGGTCTCTGGATCTGAAAGGCAGGTGCCACTCGGAGAGAGAATCCCAAGTTTTTGATACGTGCTCTGCCCTTAGTCTTCAGACTTAGTTTAACCTCAATTTTGTAATTATGCTCAWTGTGGACTTCATGTCATACTCCCAATAGCCATGTCAGGCCCTCCTCTGGGACCGAGACCAGTTACTAGGTGCACACAGCTCTGTGCTCCCCAAACACATTTCTTCCCCCAAAAATGTAATAACTGGATTTTCAAGTCAGTGTTTTAATGGTAGCTACTCAGGGATTTAAGAAAATTAAGGGAACATTAAGGGTAGCTTAGGGATCAAAGAACATTAAGGCTATTAYAAGGATAAGGAATGGGCTCTCCAGTGCTGCCCCGAAAGGCCCCCCATATAGACTAAAATTGTGGAATTCAAAAGGATCTGTGCTTCCAAGGTCAAGTAGCTACCCAGCATYTCCTCTGAAGGGGTTCCGCATGGCCCCACTATGCACCAAACCCTTCTGTGATGAATAGCTCTTTAGCAGGGCACGGTCCAGAAGGTTCTCTATAAGCCAGGAGCTCATCATTCACCGCAGAAGCTCTTTCCATTTAAAAACACCTCCACAGAGAAGCAGCTTTTGCTCTGCGCTAACACCCTCACTCTCCCCGACTGTCCACTCAGGGTTTTAAAGGGGAGATTAATGTCTCAGCACAACACATAAAAATGTAAACCAAAAGGTTAGGGAAAGATATAAAGCAACACTAAAACTGGGAGAGGACATTGGAGAGCAAGGGCACAGACATGCGGGCCCACTGCGTGCTCGGCTCCCCCTGGGAGGGCAGCCAGGAGGCAGAAGGTCTGCATAGGAGGGACAGCGGCAACCCTCTGTGCAGAGGGATGGCATCCCCAAATGTTGTGAAAATGATGAACGGGAGGACTGCAGCCTCAAATCACCTGAGTGTGTGATATGCACCGCTTTGTTMTTTAATGTTCAGGCATTAAATAACCTCCCTGGCTGATCTCGTRGTGACTGTAGTTGTCAAGTAGTGTTGAATAGCAATGATATTTCAGGATGCCGGTGGCCACTGAAAATATCCATGATGTGTGATTTCTACTGGTGACCCAATGGCAGGCATTGCTAATAGGATTCCAGAGTACCCGCTCCTCTCGTTTCTATCCCTTGCTTGTAATTAAAGGAAATATTCCATTTGAGTGAGAGGTTAGTGAAAATGAAGATGTAACTTTTTGCCATCCAAGTTTATGGACCTCAAGTTAAAAAACTCTTGCTGTAGTGACTTTGCCTGGCAGAACCTCCCAGCTCTGATAGTTCTACTTATGTTCAATGATGCCACAGTGTGAGTGAAATTTCCAAGAGGTGGTCTRCATATCTCCATAACTACTGTCAAGTTTTTATTTTTTGKKTTTTTTTATTGACTTTATTTTTTAAATTCATGACAGCGGGATGCATTACAATTCTTATTACATATATAGAGCACAATTGTTCATATCTCTGTATATAAATATGTTCACACCAATTCATATCTTCATACATGTACTTTGGGTAATGATGTCCATCACATTCCACCATCATTGCTAACCCCCTCCCTTCCCCTCCCTTCCCCTCCCACCTCTCTGCCCTGTCTAGAGTTCCTCCATTCCTCCCATACACCCTCTCCCTACCCCACTATGAGTCAGTCACCTTATATCAGAGAAAACATTCAGCATTTGTTTTGGGGGGATTAGCTAACTTCACTTAGTATTATCTTCTCCAACTCCATCCATTTACCTGCAAATGCCATGATTTTATTCTCTTTTATTCCTGAGTAATATTCCATTGTGTATATATGTGTCACATTTTTAATCCATTCATCTACTGAAGGGCATCTAGGTTGGTTCCCACAGTTTAGTTATTGTGAATTGTGCTGCTATAAACATTGATGTGGCTGTGTCCCCGTTGTATGCTCTTTTTAAGTCCTTTGGGTATAGACCAAGGAGAGGGATAGCTGGGTCAAATGGTGGTTCCATTACCAGATTTCCAAGGAATCTCCATACTGCTTTCCATATTGACTGCACCAACTTGAAGTCCCACCAGCAATGTATGAGTGTGCCTTTTCCCCATATCCTCGCCAACACTTATTGTTATTTGTCTTCATAATCGCTGCCATTCTGACTACTGTCAAGTTTTACTGGTGCCATCAAATGGACCCAGAGATAGGTGATTGCCTTTCCCAAAGAGCTCCAGAGAAGGTTTCTTTGGTCAACTCGGAATATATAAGTTTGAAATATTTTTGAAGAAGGAACAATCACATGCCCATGACAATATTTAATATCATAATCTGATTTTTCATGCACACTAAAAAACCATGAAGTATATAAAACATTAGACACTTAGAAATAGGTCTTTTCCCCTCATGTTTCAAGAAGCTAGTGCTCTCAGGCTCTTCACATCCGATATACCATCGCCTTCACCATCCCTAGATGAGCTTTCCTAGAACATATCGGCTCACTGCTTTCTGAGTTGTGAGACACACACTGCTTCTAGAACCAGAGGTTCTGCCTCCACACCTATCTATTTATGTAACATTAAGAAGCTTGGCTTTGTCATTTGTTCTACAGGCCTGTATAATTTCTCCACCGTGACCACCAGCTAAGGAAATTGCTTTTTGAAGTGACTTTAATGGTTTGTTTGCAACAAATCAACACGTGCAATTAAGAGTTCATGACCCCAGGAATAATGACTAAATCTTCATTAAATGGCGTGACCCTTTTTTTTTTTTTTTTTGTAAACTGACTCTATAACCATCTTAAATTAACAGTGATTGAGTTTATTTCTGGCTGATATGTCTGCCCCCAAACAATACTTTATTTTTTCTCCCGAAGTAATGCAGGGATTCCTAACAACATAATATCCATGGCAGAGACTTAAATACAAGTGAATCCCTCTTCTCTAATGATTGATTGTGGAGAACATTATATTCAAGAATAGACAGTTGTTTTGAAGGTAAAATAAAGAGCTAGGAATCAGAAGTTGTAATTTCTAATAACAGTTTCTCTGTTCTGTGTTTACTCTGATCAATGCCTGGGTAATTGGGAAGCTCAACAATAGAGCATTGGCACTCTGCTTCACAAAATGCCCTGTGATTCTATTATTTTCTATCTAATAATGAGTACAAGCTCAGATGTTGGCAGAAGTCCTTGTAGCAATGGAGAACTCATTTGTCACTGTTGATTGACTGTCCCATTACTCTATGCTTCAGCTTATAAGGAAAAAAATTGGTGATTATTTTGAGATTCTTGGATGAAAAACTTGGAACATGCAATTCCATATTATTACTCTTGGCCACTCCTTTTGATGCTAACTCCAGAATTACTGTTCATCCTACCAGAGRAAGAAACAATGAGCCAGGCCTGGTGGCACATGCCAGCAAGCCCAGCGACTCAGGAGGCTGAGACAGGAGGATCATGAGTTCAAAGCCAGCCTCGGCAACAGCAAGGCACTAAGCAACTCAGTGAGACCCTGTCTCTAAATAAAATACGAAATAGGACTGGGGATATGTCTCAGTGGTTGAGCGCCCCTAAGTTCAATCCCCGGTAGCCCCCCACCGAAAAAGAAAGAAACAGTGAGTGAGATTGAYTACTGTTTGTTAGGGTCCTGTGGCCATAAGGTCGCTCCTGGTGWAATAATTACCAATAAATTTCTTCCTACCTGCAGGTCTTAAAGGGGAGGTTTGATCATGGGTAAGTACTTACCTTTCCCTATGCTGACTGTGTGATTTTCCATTACTGTAACTTACTTTTTCAGCTTGGCAATACCAATAAATAAAAATGAAAAAATGCTGCGATCGCCCATCTCACCTCTCTCTGATGCATCTAAACACAAATATTCCAGCGAGGACTTAACTTCTTCCAGCCGATCTCATGGCAATGGTGTGTTCACTTCCTCCTCRTCCAACAAAAAGTCTAAGGCCACCGACAGCCAACTGCAGTCCCATGCCGGGGACCTCACGGTGGGTGTATTCCCCTCCTTTCCCACAGAGAATCAGAATGCAGTGGTACACCCTCGCCACACCCTCTGTCCCCAGCTTAGGAGTCTCCACTCATTTGGRAGGTTCTGCAGAGAATCCCTGAAGGAAGCTTTTGGAGAGACCTGGCAGAGGARAGGACTCCTTCAGCCTTCCTCACAGAGAGCAGAAGAAGAAGAAATTCATGCAAAAAGAAATATCAGGTCTCCTCTGTTTATGAAGCCTCCTTGCAGGATTTCAAACTCCAAAGAAATACCATCCTGGGGAARAACAGTTGGGAGTTTTGAACCAACCAACCTATATATTGGGAAAACTTCCTTATCCCCTGGCAGAATTAAATCTGAGATTGAAACTATATCAAAATCTGCAGGTCTCACACTCCACCCTTATAGGCCAGTGTCCCAGCCTCAGTGGGGGACACCCAGAACCACCCCTTTTCCAGTAGTCTCAGGTGATGCCAGCRCTTCCCTGGGGAGGAGCAGAGTCTCATGGATAAGTTTGGGTGCACAGTCCCCCCCCCAACCCCCAACTCAGCTGCAGGGTGATCTTGGCCCTAGTGGTCTCATCTCGGAGCCCATTTCTTTATCTGCAAAATGATGGTGATAAGATTGAAAAGAGGTAGAGCTGGGTTTGGTGGTGCATCCGGAGGCTGAGGCAGGAGGATCATGAGTTCAAAGCCAGCCTCAGCAAAAGCAAAGTGCTAAGCAACTCAGTGAGACCCTGTCTCTCAATAAAATACAGAATAGAGCTGGGGATGTGGCTCAGTGGCCAAGTGCCCCTGAGTTCAATCCCTGGTAGCCCTCCCCCACAAAGAAAGATTGGAAGGAAGTGACTTTCTCTTAAGACCCCAGCCCCTCTGGGCCCCTACACAGCTAACACCATAGGTGAGCCCCTCTTCCCAGCCATGCTGGCCTCCACTGGCTGGTGGCCCTGGCACACTCATCTTCCCAGGATGAGTTCATTTTGAAAAAAAAAATAACCTTCAGGGTATGTGTATAAAGTAGATATAAAGAAAATGAATTTCATCTTTAGAGTTGRGTCCTATCCCCTAGATCTCTCATTATGTTTAAGCAAATATTCCAAAGTCTAGAGGGAAAAAAAATCAAAAAATCCCAAACTCTTCTGGTCCCCAGCATTTTGAAGGAGGGATCCTCAAACCATATTTCTTGTTCTTTATTGAAACCTAATAACCATCAACTCTGAAGCACAAGGTGGAGCAAAAAGATGCTCTTTTAATGGTCACTCTTCCAGCCAGGTGGCGAGTGTCTCAAGGACTCCTGTGTTGTTTGTTGTTTAGAAAGCGACTCACAACAGTGCTGAGCACGGTCTCCTCCACAGCAAGACCCGGCCACAGACAGAGCCCTGGTCTCCAGGCTCCAGCGGCCACAGGGACTGCAAGCGGCAGAAACTGGTCTTCGATGATATGTAAGTTTGGACTTTTTCCGAATATGGTGAGGGGCAAGGGAAAGTGGGAGCGGGGCACGTAGGAGACACGTGCGTCTCACCCACAAGGCGCCCACTTCCTCTCGCGTGGCTTGGTCATTTAAATGTCCCTTTGAAAGGGGGCCGGAACTTTGAATGAAGAGACAGAAAGACCAGTGCCAAGCGGGAGGCTCCAGAAGAGTAGGGAGCTGAAGGCAGGAGAATTGAGAGTCTCTAAGGCCCTGGAGCTGGACCGCTGCRAGTTTTATGCTATCAGAAAGAAGCGTAGTTTTGGTATTTTTTTTTTTATTTAGAGACAGGATCTCACTGAGTTACTGAGGGCCTCTAAGCTGCTGAGAATGAGTTTTGAACTCTCAATCCTCCCGGCTCAGCCTCCCGAGCCACTGGGATTATAGGCATGCACCACTGCACCCAGCTGCCATATTCTTTAAAATGATTCTTATAGAAATATCCTGTCATCTTTCACCTGGTATGGCAGCTTCCATCAGTATAAAAGTAGAAGAAAAACCCAGGTGTGGTGGTGGCACACACCTGTAATCCCAGTGACTCGTGAGGCTGAGGCAGGAGGATTGCGAATTTAAAGCCAGCCTCAGCCATGGAGAGGCCCTAAGCAACTCAGGGAGACCCTGTCTCTAAATAAAATACAAAAAAGGGMTGGGGAAATGTGGCTCAGTGGTTGCATGCCCCTGATTTAAATCCCCGGTACCAAAAAAAAAAAAAAAAAAAAAAAAAGAAAAGGACATTCTAGAATGCTGGTGAAAATAACAAATGATGAAATGATGCTGGAGGGTATTTAGGCTCTTAGGGGAAAGCTAGGTGTCAGGGGAAAGCCTGGAAGGTAGAGGACAGGGTTCAAGACTGACTCCTGTTTCCAGTTGGAGTTGACAGCTGGAGTGTGGAGTGCACCTCTGTATGGGGCAGGAAGTTAGGCCCTAGGGTGCGGCAGCTTCTGCCCTGGGGYCTGCAGCTGCCTACGCCCACTGGAAGTCAGGAAGCAGAACAGCTGCAGACATCTCTGAATCCTGATTTCCCTAGAAAAAAAAAATAATGGCAGTGGACACTCCCAAGATCCAGCTAGATGACAACTCACGGGGTGTCACCTGGGGAAGTGCAGCGTGCACAGAGGGAGCCTGTCCAGCCTCACCTAAGCTTCACCCAGCAGGTCCATTTCCCTGAGAAGTGTGAATGCTGAGTCTTAGTCTTCAAGTATCACATGGACTTCGCTAACTTAATGAGGATACCGAGTCATGGGGTTGAAAACCAAAGTCACATTTTTTTTTCTCTRTTTCACTGAACGAACACTTTCCAAGATAACTCAGTTTCAGGAAGTTTAAGGGCGGCCCAGGAGGCCCAGGTGTCTCTCCTTCCCAGGGCACTGCAGCTGCGCCCCAGTCCCCATGCACTCTGTCCTCGGGTGCTCACCACCTCCGTTCCCCTCATCTCCCCTTGCTAAGCAGTGTGGGAGGTGGTAATTAATCCCCAGGGAGGGCACGGAATGGAAGTACATTCAGCTCTTTAACTCCGTCTATCATCTGAGTTTGATAGTGTAAATTACTCAATTGTTAGAATTCCACTTACRGACAACATGGAAATTTGCTTTCAGAAGTTATAACCTAGCAACGTGATCAAAGCGAAGAAGCATTAGGCAATGACTGAGGTGCTCAAAACATTGACAAACATTGATAGGCTGAGGCAGGAGGATCGCAAGTTCAAAACCAGCCTCAGCAAGGCTCAAAACTGAGCAAGACCTGTGGCTCAGTGGTTGACTGCCCCTGAGTTCAATCCCTGGTACCAAAAACAAAACACCAAACACTTTCAGGGGGATGGGTTTAAAAAAATATACTTATGGAAAAATAGATGCAAGGAATTTTCCAATGTATGCACCAGAAGACAAAAGTCAGAAATTGCAATGACTCAATGGTGGTACTCCAATCTGCAGTTTCTTGGGCTCTTTAGAAGAAGAAATGTTTCCCAGTCTGCTAGAGTCCAGGCTGATATAATTCTGTCACTATACCAATGAAGAGGTTGTTGTCATTTGCTCTGCACGTTAGCAGTAGTTACAATTTTTCTGGCTGATGACTACAGTAACATTGTTTCTCCTTTTGTGGATAGAGGAAAAAAATAGAACCAAAAAGTGTTCTTCCTTCCCTATCCACCATAGGGAGAGAGGAGTGTCTTGTTCCTATTGCTGTGTGTGTCCCAGCGGATTTGAAATCTGTAACAGTGAAATGCACCTCAAACAGCCACTCCTGGACTGAGCTCAGAAAGTTATAGGGAGCTTGAGAAGCAAAAGTAGGTGCTGTGTCTTCCTTTGCATGGTGTAAATAAGTGTCCCTCAAGAGACCACAGTCACCTGAAATGGTGTCAAATGTCTCCCAGGTTCACTTGCTGGGTATTGAGTGCCTGCTAAGTGCCAGGGACAGGGGTGGGAGCCTGGACCCAATGAATGATTAACTCCCAGAACCGTGGGAGAAAGGGGCACGTGGGTGGGCGTCTGGCTTCTCTCTTGCTCCTTTTTCCTCCCTTCCTCCTCCTCTACTCTTCCCCTTCTTCCTTCCTCTCCCTCCTTCACCTCTCCCTCCTCCCTCCCCTCCTCCTCCCTCTTCCCCTTCTTCCTCCTCTTCCTGCCTTTCCTCTCCCCATTTCTCCTCCACCCTCTCTTCCATCCATCTTGTTCTTCTTCCCCTTGCTTTTCCTTCCTCCTGCTCCTCCTCCCCTCCCTCTTCCCTCCTCCCCTTTCCTTCATCCCCTTCCTCTTCCCCCCTTCCTCCTGCTCCCCCTCCCTCTTTCCAGCACCCACTTCCTGCCCCCAGGGCCTCCCGTTCCTGTCACGTTCCTTGGTTTTGCCTTCACTGTGTCCTTAGCAGTGAAATGGACTAGATGATGAATACCAGGCTAATTCAGAGCTGATGGGACTCCAGTTATGGTGACCCAAAAAGTAACAGATGCCACACTGTCATTTAGTTTTTAAAGCCACACCATGTAGCTTTTTTTTTTTTTTTAAGTAAACTCATCTTTTCCTAATATAAATACTTGTTAACGGTTGGATAAACATGCAATTCAGACAACAGCTGAATCCAGTGAGCTGTCAATAACAAGTATTGAATGAACACAGCTGAATTATAAATAACCTTCCCAGAGGGAATGGCTGGATATTTTTCCTTCTTTTTCCATGAACCTACATGCAGGTAAATTTAAATTCATGGGCTTCCAAGCCCCTTTTCCTATGCTACTTACCAATTAAACAGGCACCAGTGTGTGCTGTTGGGATGCAGACAGAACCGAAGGGAATAACACTTGTTTTTAAAACAGGATCCAGGTCAGCGTGTTCTGGTAAGTTGCAGCCTCCAGTTGGTGATGGTGTGACTACACCTCCTCCCCCAACATTAAGTAAATGCATGAGATTYACTATTCCACAGCCACAGTATTAAAGTGACACTTAGGTGATCACCAAACTTTTGTTTAAAAAAAAAAAATCTTTAAGACTTTATGTCAATGGGCTGGGAATATAGCTCAGTTGGTAGAGTGCTTGCCTTGCATGCACAAGGCCCCTGGTTCAATCCCTAGCACCATTTAAAAAAAAAAAAAAAAAAAAAAGAATTCATGTCAATGAGTGACATCGCTTGATTCTGCATAAGGCCGGGACACTAGCCTTATTAACACAAAGCCATGAGCCATAAATCACTTGGCATCATAATTAGTGACGGGAGACTTCTTGGCTGGGGAAAATGGAGAGACAACAACTGGGTCACGAAGGCTCCGTTCMGAAGTCCTGAATTCACGGAGCTCAATGGTGAGATTCTTGGCTGGGAATCTCGTGCCTGCATCATGCCAGCCATATTGCTGTTAGGAGCCAGCAAACCCAAGGCCAGAGCCTCCTGCTGCTCCAAAAGGATGTGCCTCTCTTGYCCGTCTTTCACATGGAAGAGTCAGTCACGACCAGCACCATCAGCCAAACCCACAAACGTTCCCATCTGTCCCCAAGGTGCCAACAACAGGAGCCCAGCTCCCCACCCCCAACACTGAGAAAAGACTCTCTGGCCACACAGGAGGCTGAAGGCCATGGGCATGTGAAATGTGACTGACAGGAAGGAATGGGGACTTGACATTTGTAATGTAATTATGCACAGCAGTCTCAGAGCTAAAAGGATTTTAATTTTATAGAGGATGGGAAGAATCCTGAATGTAAAAGGTCGGATCTCTTGAAGCATGATTTAATCAAAGGAAACCAATTGAAATCCTTGAGTAGGTGATATTACAGCCAGGCAGGGTCCCCCCAGGGGGACTTACCAGGGCATTGCTGTCCTGAGGGTCTTTCTTTCCCAAGACTTCAGAACCGGACCCCACCTTTTTGTTTTCCTGATAAGCCTCAGTACTAGTCTTTGTTGTTCATGGATAATTGTTTCCAYTGTGAAATCTCTCTTCCAAGGTCAGGTCCTCATTTTGTTCTAACCAAAACAGAAAGAAAGTGGGGGGAAATAAGGACATTCAGATCTCTCTGATTGAAATCTGAGCTCTTTGATCACTTTTAAGATATGGGAAAACTMTTCTATTTTTTTTTAAATATTTTTTTAGTTGTCAATGGACCTTTATTTTATTTATTTTTATGTGGTCCTGAGGATCGAACCCAGTGCCTCACACAGGCTAGGCAAGCGCTCTACCACTGAGCCACAACCCTTCAATCTTTTAAAATTCATACCCAGAGAAGAATAAAAATGAGATCAATAATTCTCCATCTCAGCAGAAAGTTCCTTTTGGTTCAATAACAGAAGCTCTCCCCTGCTTAGCCTCCTGGAAGGGGCACACAGCTTCCTGTGCGTGGCAGGAGGATGTGACCTGTAAGAAACAGGACCAGTTATGCTCCTGCTTCTGAGAAGCCAGGTYCCAGGCACTCTGAGGGCCCAGCTAACGTCAAGGTTGTAGGAACACCGGGACACTAGAATCCTTGCTGACTAGACATAATGTACCTGCATCCATGGGGAAGTGCCCGGAAAGCCAGCCTGGCCTCTCAGGATCCCTGACTCCAAACTGTCCCATCAGCAGTGACCACCTGGGCCTGGGGGCGTGACTCAGTGGTGGTACAGCACCGACACAGGAGGCCGTGGAGGCAATCCCCAGCACCAAGAAAATAATAATCGAATAATAGTGATCCCCGAGTGCGTGGCCAACAACTGCTGACCCTCTTGCACTTTCTCCTTTTGGAGAAAGCACCTCCAAGCTTGGGACACAGGAACACCTCTGGGGCTTAGACAGTGACAAGCTGAAATACCAGATGTCAGATGACAAATTCATTTGGTATGCCACGGCCCCTTTGTCTGATTTGGATCTCAGTCTGCCTAAGAAATCCGTCCAGATTTCTGCCACGCAGAGAAACCTGTGAGTTCACACACATTGAGCTCTCGTCCTTGCCCGCGTGCACAGAGCCGGCTGGCTCTGCTGAGCACGGCCTTTCACAGAGGTAGGAATTACTGAGCCGTGTGTGCCAGCCTCTCCGTGGGAGATCATTCAGCTCGCTCGCTCTCCGCCAGAAAGCAGAACAGAAAAGCCAGGTTGCTTTAATACTCCTGTGTCAGAAGAAATATCAGGGGTGCTCGCATCCTGCTGCGGCTCAGATCCAGGGCCATGTGTTATAGGTGGGGGTGGAGGGAGGGTGAGGAGAAGAGAAGAGAACAGCCTCTTTGGATCAAGTAGTAAGGTCACTTTTGTCCCAGAGAGCTCTTACAACAAACATGCATGTGGATGTGGCTTCACTCGGGCCCCAGAGCTACAGAGTATAAGATACATGGTTACATTTATGATGCTTAWTTGAACTTTGATTAGATTTGTTGATGTATCAACATGAAATACCATCACTGTGAGAAACAATGTGAAGAATTTGATTTCATAAATTTTCTTAAAAAAAAAAAACAACTCYAGATCTTTCGCATAAAAACAAACAAAAAAAAAATTAGAAGATTGGCCAGGCATGGTGGTGCATGCCTGTAATCTCAGAGACTCAGAAGGCTGAGGCAGGAGGATCATGAGTTCAAAGCCAGCCTCAGCAAAAGCAAGGCTCTAAGCAACTCAGTGAGACCCTGTCTCTAAATAAAATACAAAATAGGGCTGGGGATGTGGCTCAGTGGTCGAGTGCCCCTGAGTTCAATCCCTGGTACCCACCCCCACAAAAAAAATAAATAAATAAGACTGGATGAAAAATCTGTCTGAACTGAGATGATTAGGGTTGGTGCCTGTGCTATGTCATGCTCTGTACTGCCACCACAGTGGTAGTGATTTTACTTTTCCTATTGATGATCTATTGCTGTGGGAAGTGACACCTTCATGCTGGCATGCATCCACTGACGTGCTGGACAATCCGGGTGACGTCCCATTGGTCCCAATGGCTTTCTAATGATCTGATCTAGGAGCCTGGCACTAGAAATCACCTGAAGAAGAAAATGGGCCAATCATCAGGCAATCTTCAGTGAGTCTGTATAGCGAGCCTGCTAYTAGATGCAGAATGAGAATTCTAACAAATGTGTTTGTAAATGGCCCCCAGATGGTATCTTTCCCTTCAGCAAGTCAGGTTACTGCTGTAACTGCCCAGATAAAGTCAGAAAATTAGATGTGTTACTTATCTCTGTGTACTATTGAGAGTTTGTGACTCAGCCGCCATGTCGGGTTTGTTTTTTTTTTTAAATGCATTTATGTGCCGCAGATAAAGAACAGCATTGATTAAAGAACCCGTATTAGGGATTATAAACTGCTGCCATCTATAAAGGCAACATAGAAGGCTCGGGAAAACGAGGATGCCCTAGCTTATTGCCAAGAAAATCTTTCCTGAGAACAAAATGCATTTGAAATGACGATCTGTTCATGACAAGGTCTACAAAACAGGCCAAGAAGAAAATGACCAAACTTATATACTAGAGTGTGGAGCAGATAATGATGTGGAGAATTTCCGGTTGCCATGGAGAYGCGCTCTGGCTCATCACCCCATCACCAGGCACCACTCTTTTCTGAGCTCAGAGAAAAGTCGATGCCATTCAGGAAGGACTTGTTCACCTTCTGTCGTGTGCCTAAAAGCACAGGATGGGGAAGACTGAAGAGGTCCACAGCCCTGTCCCTGCTGAAATTGTACCAGCCACCAAGTTGTTCATAGGCAATGACCATAGCCCTCTGCAGCTTAGAAGGCAATTAAATACCCAGAAATGCAGTGCAAACACGAAGTGCTCTATGAGACCAGGAAAGGCAGAGATAAACATGGACCAGTGACCGGAAGGACCCATGGTGGCAGTAGAATTTGAGGGCAGTAACTTTTGGTTCATAGTGAAGATCCTTGGTGAAGACTCAGTCAATGAGCAGAGAGCACAATATTCTGGGCAGCAGGGAGAATAAGCAAAGCTTCTGAGACAGGGAGAGCAAGTTATTAAGACATTGGGGAAAGCAGCCCAGAGTTTGGCCAAGGCTGTTGGTAAATAAATGATGTGGTTAAGGGAAGGATATTAGGTCCCTGAACTGAGATGTCACCTCAGAGGCCCTGGAGATGGAGTCAAGGTCTGTGAGCAGGATGGCAATGTCATGAACACTATCGCGAACAACATTGGTCAAGGGGTGAAACTCAAGTTAGATTGCAGGCGAGTCCATCTAGAGTCTCAGCAACCTGAGAGGCCAGGAACGCCTGGACTTGTGGAGAATGTGGTCTTGCCAGAGGAGAGGAGTGCTTACAGGGACGCAGTCAAGGCATTTGGCAACAAGGGGAAATGGGTGAGAATTCTGGAACTCTCCCCCTGAGCAAATAGGCTTTGGGACCCCACGTGAAGCTCAGGAATCAGATCTGGGCTTGAGCTAGAGGCGGGGGTCTTCCGTGTCAGGAGATGAAAACCAAAGGACAAAAAATAAGTAAGTACAGAGGATCCGAGGGCAGTGAAACTGTTCTTTGTGATATCGTAATGGTAGAGGCACATCATTTTACGTTTGTCCAAACCTATAGGATCTACAACACCAAGGCTGAACCCTACACTAGCAACCCTGGATCATGATTGTCAGTGTAGGTTCATGGATTGTAGCAAATGTGCTGCTCCTAGTTTGGGATGCTGATTCGTGGAGGAGGCTGTGGGGCAGAGGGCATAGGAGAACTCTCTGCTCARTTTTGCCAAAAGTGCTCTAAAAAAAWAAAGTTTAAAAAACAGAAGCAAACAAGCAGTTAACAAAGATAAATTGCCAGAGCTGTTTTCAAAGACCAAAAAATCCATATGTGAACAAGGGTCAACACGTGACCTAAGAAGGAAGAAAACATCCTGTTAACGMAACTCAAAAGCCATTAGAACAGAAGAAGCATGTGGGTGCAGAKGTAATAGAGAAGGCAGAGCCTCTGGCCTCACCCACCAATGGGAGACCCACCCAAAAGAATGGCAACTGTCAGACCTGCAGCGGGACAAGAGTGGTGAAGGAGCCATGAGCCAAGGACAGTATTAAGGAAATCCTACAACAATATTGCCACTTCTTGTTTGTGACATGCTAACACGACAGTCCCAGCTTGTTACCACAATTCTGATATTTTATAGAGAAATAGAAGATAGAGAACCAGGTCCTTTTCTTGCTTCTGTGATTTTTTTTTTTTTTTTTTTTTTTTTTTTTTACCCATAGCATTATTTGCTATGATTCTGATTTGTCTGTGAGTGCAATGTTTAAACCAATCAGTGTTCATTGTCATGGTATATATTATGTTTCTAAGGGTTTTGACCTCTTTGAATAAAGGGAAGCTCTGGTTACCTGATATCACAGTAAGGCAAAAGACCCATTAGAACCTGAAACAAGATAATTCAAAATAAGCATATCACAATAGGTTAAACAGTCCAGGATTAATCTCCCTTCTTACATCATACCCCCATTTAGGGACTCCTGGCTTAGATTGCATATTCATGAATAGGTCAGGTTTATTGATTACATAAAGACCCATATTACTGATAAAGTTTACARTGATGGAGACTAAAGCATATAAATTTTATTTTTTTTAAATCTGTCAGATAAGCCTTTAAAGGTACTGCCTGACAAGTGCTTTAGTGTAACCGGGGATCATTACACATGCTCCGATCAGTCTCAGGATGAATTACCTTTGTCTCCCGGAAGAACCAGTGCTGACCAGGATTATTGCTTTAATAATGCACATTCTGCTGTTAATGTTTACCAGCTAGCTAATCAGGGCTCCAGAGAATTCATGCCATGTTTGCATTATTACAAGGTAGACATCATTTTACAATTAACTTCATTACAACTGGAACACAATCATATAGCATTACATTTTTTTTTTCATTTTTCACTGCCAGGCTTGAAAATAATTAAATATATACACATACAACTCTAGGTAGCACTTATGCATATAAATGATCCTTATATCCATAAGGATACATAAATATTCTCACCCATACGTATCCATGCAATTATTATGAGGTATATTTACAACCTTTAAGTTAAAAGGGATTGTTCCTTGTAACTATTACATGAAATAAGATTTTTCACTTTTTTCTTAACCATACAATAAAAAATCTGAATCACAAATTAGGCACTGGGGGACCATGCTAAAACCACTGTAAATGTCGACTCTGCCCATATTGAGTAGGCTCTGAATTGCTAACTTAAGAGAAAAATAATCACAGTGTTTTACATACAGGCAGTAATTTGGAAGTGTAAAAAAAAAGGACTTGATTCCATATTAAGCAGAGTTTTTAAATCGTGCTTTATGTTTGAGGAAAAGAAAAGAATATTTTCAAAAGATCTTGCACTTAAGCAATAATGACGTCTTATATCACTCTCTCCTCCTCGTAGGCCTCGCAGCGCAGATTATTTTATGCAAGAAGCTAAACGGATGAAGCATAAAGCAGATGCAATGGTGAGACCCTTTTCTTTCCAGATACAGTCCTCCAAATGACGTTTGTACTGCAGCTTTATCACTGGGGCAATATAGCTGGGTAATTATAAAATCTATTACAGGGATGGCTGGGCCTGCTAAATGGAGAAATGTTTATATAATCAAGTGCTCATAGCCCAATAAATTATGACTTCAACCAATAATGTCTGACTGGGAGAAAGCCCTGGATAAATGAGTATTTCAATTTAACCCTAAGGTTTGAATAGTAACTAGAGCCAATAGAGTCAGTGGGTGGTAGTATTTTTTTCCTTTAGAAAAAAAAAAAATCCAGATTTGCATTTTCCTCTCTTGTTAGCTTGGCCAACGCTTGGCTTGGTCCCAGGATCAAATTTCTTTTCAAAAAAGACTCATGTTCTTCATGTGCATCTGCTACAATGAATGCTTCCCTTGAACTATACAATGCAGAAACTATTATGTGCACATAAAACCCTAAAACCATCATGATTTGATGTTTTCAAAGAATATAACTTTTCTTGCTTGAATAATCTCCTATTTTGGAAAGCTTGAAGCTTCCAGGCAAGAATTAGAAAACTTTCGGTTTTGTTTTTCTTTCTTTCTTTTTTTTTTTTTAAGAGATCGTAGGGTTGTTCCATCTTAAATGCTCATCCAAAAGGACCCCTTCCTACYTAGTCATTCCAGTTTTATTCCCCGCCAGTGTTCATAACGGACATCAACCAGGGYGTTAAAGATGAAAAAGGCATTTTAAACGATTTTTCAAAGTATTATTCCAGTGTTGAAGGTATTTGAACTGTAAAAGTCCCCCTCTCCCAGGGCTACCAAGGTCACCCACCAAACATTTATTTGTACAAGGCCCACTGCCGAGGTACACTGGTGAACAGAGAAAATGTCCATTGAGTGTCRAAAAATAGAGAAGAGAAATGGAGAGACAGTTCTTCCCCACAGAGTTCCACACAATCTAATGGAGAGTTCCGGTCTTGTAAATAAACTGATGGCATGGGCCCCTATTGGGAGACACATCGAACTTTTAAGCAGAATGTTTTAGTCAGCTTTTTCGCTGCTGTGACTAAAAGACCTGACAAAAACATTTTAAGGAGGGAAAGTTTATTGGGGGGCTCACAGTCTCAGAGGTCTCAGTTCATAGACAGCTGGCTCCATTCCTTGGGGCTCCAGATGAGGCAGAACWTCATGGCGGAAGGCTGTGGCCGAGGGAAGCAGTCACATGATGATCAGGAAGCAGGGAGAGACTCCACTGACCAGATACAACATATACCCCAAAGATATGCCCCCAAGGGACCTGCCTCCTCCAGACCCACCTTGGGTCACCACCCAGTTAATCCCATCAGGGGGGATTGAGTTACTGATTGGGTTAAGGCTCTCATAATGAAATCATTTCTTGTTTGTTTGTTTTTTTTTTTTTAATAATTTAGTCTCAGTTTAATTGAAGCTAGGAAACATATACTCCAAACTTTTTTTAAAAGGTTACTTYGTAAGAAGCCTCCACAGCCATACTGTGAAACAGTTTTTATCAGGCTTATTAGCCATAATCTTTTTTTTTATTCTAATTAGTTATACATGACCGTYGAATGCCTTTTGACACACCATTTGTCTGGTTGTGCATGATGTGGAGTTACACAGGTCAGGTAATCATATATGCACATAGGGTAATAATGTCCTATCCATTCTACTCTCATTCCTACCCCCATACCCCCTSCCCTCCCTTCACTCCCTTCTTTCTCATGCAAAGTCCCTCTACTCTTCCCTAGCCCCCCCTTATTGTGAATCAGCATCTGCATATCAGAGAAAACATTCAGCCTTTGGTTTTTTGGGGATTGACTTATTTTGCTTAGCATGATAGTCTCCAGTTCCATCCTCTGAACTTTCTTGCATTGTCTCACACGTGAGCTTTTGGGGGACACCTCACATCCAAACCATAACACAGAATGAGATTTTCTGCTGTCTCCATCCTCCGGGGTTCACTTGCTCATCAGTGTTCTCTTGCCCCACCCTACCTTTCCTATTGACTATTTCTCAAGTCACACTGCCCCAGCGAGGCCTGTCCCCTGCCAGCCTCTGAGCTCAGCTGTTATTGCCAGCCACTGGGCATGTGCCCCTRCAGAGCTTCACGCTCACACACACATACAAGGTCTCAGGCACCCTCAGCATCTCCCATGTCCAGGCAAATCACACCATTCTTTCCCAGGCCCGTGTTTAGGTCTCCTCCCTGAATCATCCCCAACCTCTCCACAGCCCCATCACTCAACCGCTTCCATCCATCTCAGTGGTAGGGGACTCCTCCTTCTGCATTTTGTCAGTTAATCATGAACTGTTTTGCACATGGAACTGGTGTGTAGGTGCAGGTTTTCTCTGTCCAGATGTACTGTGGGTTTCTGGAAGCAGCTTTGTGTATCAGGTACACATACCCCAGAGTTGAGCGCTGTAGACCATGCTTACTGAATGAAATTATTTACTTACTCTGAAGGCATTGCCAAAAAAATGTTGCCTGTTTGGTTTTTTAAGCTGTTTAAAATTTTGAMTTGCGGGCTGGGGATGTGGCTCAAGCAGTAGCGTGCTCGCCTGGTATGCGTGCGGCCCGGGTTCGATCCTCAGCACCACATACCAACAAAGATGTTGTGTCTGCCRAGAACTAAAAATAAATATTAAAAAAAAAATTCTAAAAAAAAAAAAAAGATAATAAAAAAAAACATCAGATTTAAAAAAAAAATTTTTTGACTTGCTAATGAGAAGCAGTTTTGCAATACAGTTCTGTTTTCTAAAGTATTGATTCTAGGGAGATTTTGTTTTATTTTTGTAGCAAGACTTAGAATAATATGTATGTGTCATTCTTTGAATATTGGGGAGATGTTGTGATCCAGACAATAGTAATTATCTTCAGAGAGTAGCCATATATGGAACCAGGAACTCAATGTGTAAGTTTAATATATGAGAATTTAACAATATAAAGCTGATTTGTGGCTATCCTTGTGGACATGGGGAAAGATTAACATACATGACTTCAGATAATCCAAAAAATCATATTTAGTGTCAATTTTCAATGGTGCCTTGAATTTTATCTCTTCTCTTTTCCCTTCATCTTGCCCTTATGTGAGGTTCTCGCCATTAATGGAAAACACTKGAGAAGAGGAAGAGATGTAAATGTCATAAATAATATAAAAGATAATAACCAATGCTTTGAACTGTCCAAGTTTGCAGTGTACAAAAGAAAGTGTGGTTCAAAGCTAGGCATGATGGCGCATGCCTATAAACCCAGCAACTCAGGAGGCTGAGACAGGAGGATCACAAGYCTGAGGCTAGCCTCAGCAAATTAGCAAAGACCTCTCAGCAACTGCCATGAAGTCCTGAGCCTTGTTGATTGGCAGCTGTCCCAAGCCTTTGCCATGCTATATGTGACCACATGCTCATTTCCCCCCAGTCTAGTGGCAATTCAAGAAAACAACTATTGAAGTAGTACAGCAGTCTTCCCTTATCTGAAACCACAGATAATACCAACCTTTAGATGTACTTCTTTTTCCTATATATTCACCCTATGATAAAGTTTAACTTCTAAATTATATACAGCGATTAGCTACTAATAAMATAGAATAATAGGCTATGATAAAAAAAAAATTTAAGCTTATAAAATGTCCACTTYTAGAATTTTCCGTTTAATATTTTTGGGCTGTGGTTGACCATGAAAAAACTGAAACCATGGAAAGCAAAATCGTGACTTCACGAGGGGCCTACCATCTCCTAGGTCTTTCTCCCCTCGGCTCCATTCACAGAATTCTGAAACTCACAAGTTGAGTTTCTCAAGTAAAGCATGTACACTGTCGGGCAATGGTGGGTGACAGACTCTCGTTAAGGGAGGCGCTGTGCATTCTGTTGATCAGGTGGAGAAGTTTGGAAAGGCCCTGAACTATGCTGAGGCAGCCCTGTCGTTTATTGAGTGTGGAAACGCCATGGAACAAGGCCCGATGGAATCCAAGTCCCCTTACACCATGTACTCAGAGACGGTGGAGCTCATCAGGTGAGCCGTGATTTCCTGCCGGGGTAGGGAGGAGCCTGAGGGAGGACTAGAGGGGCAGCCAAGAGCATCCGTCTGTCCACCGCACCTTGAGCCACTGGAACCCCTGGCTGGGAGGAAGCTGAGTCTCGGTGAGCCCTGTTCTCGCCTAGGTTAGGAAAGAGTCTTAATTACAGTAGATGACTCTAGTTAACACTAAGGTATTACGTATTTCAAAACAGCTAAAGCAGAGGTTTTTGAATGCTCTCACTCTAGAGAAATAATAAATGCGTGAGGTGGTGGTATGGTCACTACCCACATGTGATCAATGTCCAATGTACAAGTGTATCATACTATCAAACGGTGCCCCACAAAGATGTAAAWACCGTCAGAAAGAGAAAGAAGATAGAATAATGTTGACCAGATCGTTATATCACATGTACGTGCAAATACATAACAAATCCCACAATTATGTATAATTATAATGCACCAATTAAAAAATGGGGAAAAAAAGAAAAGAAAACCATACATTTGTGGATTTAAAAAAAAATGCTGAAAATCCATTTGCCACTTAAATCTGTACCTTGTCCACCAAAACTGACATCCTTCTTCCCCACGGAGAGCCACTGGGGGGCCAGGAGCTCTGGCAGGGGGTAGATGACCACAAGTGGGAGAATCCCTTCCTTCACCAGGGGACTGTGGGAAGCAGGCAGTGATCCCTGAAGGGCTGCCCCCAAGAGAGTCCAGCCTGGGGAACCCTCCCTCCCACCGGCCACCTCACCTCAGGCAGCGCCACCAGGGACCACCTGGGGCCCCAGGGCATACCAATAGAGTACCAGCAAGGCTCTGAAAACTAAATTATAATTAGATTGCAGCCCCAGAGTAGCCCAAGGCTTGCCTGCTAAATCTCAACAGGATAACTGCTAAGACAAGAGATTTAAATAGGATCCGGAATCTCCTAACATAATAGCCAAATGTCCAGGAGACAGCAGAAACTCACCCGCCCTACCAAGAACCAGGAAAATCACAACTGAAATGAAAACAGATCAATTGACATCCATGTCACGATGAATCGGATGGTGGAATTTTATCTGGCGAGAATTCCCAAGCAGCCATCCTAAAAATTCCCCAGTAAACAATTACATTTCCCTTGCCACAGACAGAAAGCAGAAAATCTTGTCGAAATTTTTATTTTAAAAGAATCAAATAGAAATTATAGAACTGGAAACTATAATAATAGAAAAAAAAAAAAAAACACTGGACGGGCTCAATCATAAAGGAGAGATAAAGGATACAATCAGTGAGCTTGAAGTCAGAAAGTAGAATTTACCCAATCTGAGCAAGAGACAAATGAATAGACTGGAAAAATTTTTTTAAAAAGTGAAGAGGGCCTCAAGGACTGTGCTAGTCTAATTTCTGCTGCGCTAGCAAAATACCACGGACTGGATAAATGATAAACAATAGAAGTTTGTTTGGTTCATGGCTCTAGTGGCTGAGAAGTCCAGGATCATTGTGCTGGCATCCAGTGAGGGTCTCTGTGCTGCATTACCCCACCATGGAAGGGCAAGGGAGCCCCGGTGAAACAGGAAGGTGGCCTGAATTCCTCCTTTTTATCGGGATCCACTCCCTCAATAACTAACTTACCCAAGATGAATCCATTAGTGAGGGTTCTGCCTCCTGAGGTCCCGCCACTGAATACTGCTAACTTGGGTCATTTCCAACATGTGACTTCTTCTGTGGGCATATTCAAACCAAGTAAGCACAATAACAGGAGATCCAACGTTTGTATCACTGGGRTCCCTGAAGGAGAGGAAAAGAGACTGGGACCGAGAGAGTGCTTGAAGAGGTGATGACTGAGCGTTGCCACGTTTGTCAAAAGACATCAACCTGCAGATCCTGGCAGCCAAGGAAAACCCGAATAGGATAAGCCTGACAGAATGCAGGCCAGGACACATCGTGATCCTGTCCCTGAAAACTAAAGACGAGGAAATCGTGAAACCATCAAGGAGAAACAGCACATCAGCTGGGGGAGAACCCCCGCTCAACTGACCGCCCACTTCTCATCTGAAATCGGGGAGGCCAGAGGAGGTGATGTGACATTTTTTTCAAGTGTGGAAAGAAAGGACGAAATATCAATCTGTGGATTCTAGATTCAGTGGCATATTCTTCAGGAGCGGAGGGAAATAAAGATATTACCAGACTCGGGAAAACAACAGTGCTTGTCTCTGACAGACCCCCTTAGCGAGTGACTGCAGGAAGGACCTTCCTCAACAGAGGAAAGAATCTGCACACATCAGGAAGGAGAAGAGAACAGAAATAGAGACCCATGCAATCAACTGTCCTCCTTTCAAAAATCATGTTTGATGATTGAAACAAAAATGATACCACCATCTGATTCTCAGGGTAATTATTTAGAAGTAAAGAAGATAACAACTTCCACACTTCACTCAAGGTGGTAAAATGTCGATACTGGTGAATTCTGTGAAGCATGTAAGTGTATTGTCAYTCCCAAGAGCAACCACTGCAAATGCTCTGCACAGAGACACACTCAGAAACCGACAGATCTGCACATGGARGAGATGAGGCCATGGTAACAGACTGCTTCTCAAGCCAGCAAGCCAGCCTGCTATGCCGAGAGCTTCCTAGAACGATCTGGGTTAATCCCCACAACAAGGCTGTGTAATCACGGCATTAGTTCTGTTTTATAGGTAAGGAAGTGAAGGCTTAGGGACATTAATACACTTAGGCTCTCACAACTAAGTAACTGAGCTGGGATTTGAACCTGGGACTCTCTGACCATTGCAATACTACRTCAGTTCTCTCAGAGAGTCTGCATAGGTGACCTGGCATGTTACTGCAAGAAAGCAAAGGCCATAGCCCCCCTAGTTCAGAGAAGCGAATGGAATTGTTTCTCATAATGCACATAAATAGAAGCCAATGTCGATTAAAAATGTACCCAGATCATTTACACTGCCATCAAGGTAAGAGTCACATAACAGAGACAAAGGGGTCAAGGGAGCACCCATCTGAGTACCAGGGGTACAAATTCTCCTGGAGGTGAGCCCAGAAGCATGGAACCTCACCTCCAAGTGTCACCACTCAGCCATACGTCAACACTTGGATTAACAGGCGTGTTACCATATGCTTGACCAGTTCTTGAACTGCCTCCTGCAGCATTTGAACTTGTATTGCTAAAAGCAAGAGTAGTGAGGCATCATAAGAAAGATTTTGTTCATTATATCACAGTGATGTGATGCTTGGGGGAAGAAGAGCAATGTCAGAAGGCTTTTAAGAAAGAATTATGAGCGGCACTGGGAAAATCTAAGTACTGGGCAGACAGAACTAACAGCATAGAAGTTCTGTTATTACTAAGAGAGTTCTTTTTGTTTTATTCCTTTGCTTTCCCTCTCCCCACCCCCTTTTGCTTTTATTTTTGTTTTTGATTTTAGATATGCTATGCGACTAAAAACCCACTCGGGCCCCAATGCCACACCAGAGGACAAACAACTAGCTGCATTATGGTGAGTGCCTCATCTCAACCTAGAAGAGTGTCCTCGGCCTCCTAAGTCCTTACTGGCAAATCATGTGCTAAAATGCATGTTTTTTTCCTGGCACCTTTGAACATACAAAGCCCCATGCTGTTCTATCCGCCAGGGAGAATCCAGACCATTTCTTTTTTGCTGTGCTATGCATGAACAGAATTCAGTCATTGAAAATCGACAGGTCAATTACACAAGGGTAATTTTTTTTTTCTCTGTGTGTGCATGTGTTTCAAAATCAGGTAGGTCCCCTCTTTAGTCATTTGAATGTACATTGTGTCAAATAGAGTTTCTCTTGTGTTTGATGCTTTAGATGCAATCAAAATAATTCATGTGTTGCTTTATGTGGCAGATCAGTCTGAATGAATAAAGACGGTGCTTAAAGCTCTCAACGCATTAAACTCAAGAGCGGCTCATTATACTTTGATAATAAAATCACGTCTTTCAAAATGTTAGCCAATATATAAAAGATTTTTTCTGTACTGATAATGATTACAACGATAACTATTATGTGATTATAATAGCTTTCTCCATGACGTCTCCTCAGGACACCTCACCCCACTCCCCAGATCTCAGAACACCTCTCTGTTGGTTCTCCCTCTCAAAGGATCCAAATTTTTTTCTTCTTCAAAAGCTCATTCCACTCTAGAAATCTAATCTACCCATTAGAGACTCAAATGGAATCTCAAAAACCGTGACAGCAACATAGACAAAAGAGAGGGTCTCAGGTTGTTTCACTTCATCATATCGTCTGGAGTTTGGGCTGTTCAGAGGCTATTGAGGCTCTTGCGATTCTAGCACGTCAGCACCAGATCCGAGTTAGCAAAAGATTACTAGCAAAAAGCAAGCAAGAAAGGATGAGTCCAGGAAACACTACCTGTGCCCTTTTCTTTACTGAAGTTCCATATTGGGATAAATAAATTGATGATAATTAATAACATTATCATATTAGATATAATACTTATATGTAAATAATAATTCAAATATTGTAGACAATATCAAATGATGAGAACTCTCAACAGAGTGTTTTTTGCTATTCATGATTCACACTCATTATTTATATTATCTATTTAAGCTGAATATMGGGTAATAAAGTATTAAAAAGCAAAGGTAATAAAAACAGGTAGAAAAACTGACCTATTCACAAAGCCAGGGTAGCACACCCAGGAAGCAGTGAAAGCTGTGGCTAGAGCTTCCTCACGCGGCTCATGGAGAGAGACTGCCCTCTCGTGGTAGAAGCAGGAAGCACCGGGCCCTATTCCCAACAAAGTGATAAATCTCATATTCTAAAATAAGCTAAAGGTGAATATATTTATGGAGTACCACGTTGGAATTTTGAATTATATTCTGGGGACAAAAAGAAGGTCAGGTCGTGTACGTACATACAGAAACATCTTAGATACATAAGCATGGTGTAAATACCAAGTCACTTGGAMTGGCATGACTTTGGAAAAGGCTTGTTTCTGAAGGACACACTCCTGTTCTGAAGGGCTCACTTCTCTCCTTCCGCTGCAGCTATCGATGCCTGGCTCTCCTGTACTGGCGGATGTTTCGGCTTAAAAGGGACCACGCTGTCAAGTATTCAAAAGCACTCATCGACTATTTCAAGGTACTGTCTGAACAGATGAGTGGCTGCCTGCTTGTGTTCACGTGCCTCCCTGTCAGGGGCACTTCAGAAAACCCTGGCAGAACCCACTGCTCTGGGCGAGTACAGGTCACCTCTGTCTCCAGAAATTGCATTTATGACACCCTTGTACCTGAAAGCTCAGAGAATGGGCCTTGAGAACCTAGCGAATTTACCCCCTGCCTTCTTGCCCAAGTATTTTTGTGGCCTCAAGAAAAAGAATATCCAGTTATTCCTTCCAGGGTCCTAGGAACTAGATCTCTAGAGCAGACATAAATTCCTCACATCCAAGAGAAGTTTTCTTCTCTTAGAAGTTAACTACTTCCAAGCCACTACCCCTTCGTTATTCTCTAGTAGCTAACTTAACTTTTAATGGAGGTGATATTTAAAAGGGGAAGAGATGGATGATGAGAAACTCAGAGACACTAGAGAGCAATGTGTAACTGTCAGGACTGAATTCGCAACCATGGCAACTTTCACTTACCTCGGGGAATGAAATTATTTTCACTGGGAGAATTTTTTTAGATGGCAAAAAGTAACAACAAAAGTCCCTCTCTGGTGTACTGTTGTAAAGTGAACTTGAAATTCATCATTTGTTTGAGATTCCTGGGCCCATTCTCTGTTTATCCACCTAAATCCAGTATCCTGTCCCCAAGCCTTATTTCAGCTACACCACCTTCCCTAAAAATCATTTATTCCCAACCCCCACTTCTCAGAGCTTGTCTGACCAGGTGATTCGGGGTCCCTTGGGATATTTTTAGCACGGTGCCTCCTTCCTGAGTGTGCAATTAGAATAACCAAGTTCAGAGCCAAGGAGATCACTTTCCTGGCCCTTTGGTGAGTTATAATGACGAGAACTGGCACAGAGCCTTCCCTTGACAAGATGGGTTGTTTTCCAAAATTCAGAATCTAAGAGCTAATACCAAAGAGAGTTGTTTCAATCAAGAAAAACAATGCTTGAAGAAATAAGGAAGTTGGGGCTGGGGCTGGGGCTCTTCGATAGAGCACTTGCCTGGCATGTGTGAGGCACTGGGTTCGATTCTCAGCACCGGGTATAAATAAATAAAATAAAGGTCTGTCAACAAGTAAAAAAGAAAATATTTTTTTGGAAAAAAGGAAGCTGAATTCTGGAAGCCCAAGAGGGTTACAACAGAACTTTTAAGGGACAACAGAAATAAAGAAATTCTTAATTTACACATGCAGTCCAGGGGTACAGAGAGAAAAGAACCTGAGCTTCAGACTTCTCCTTCAGGAGTTATTGGCATTTATCCTTCATCAGAGCTACATTATTTAATATATTTAAAATATTAAATATTATTCATATTAAAAAATGAATAAATTAGCCAGGTGCGGTGGCACACACCTGTAACCCCAGCAGCTCAGGAGGCTGAGGCAGGAAGATCGCAAGTTCAAAGCCAGCCTCAGCAACTTAGCGAGGCCCTGAGCAACTTAGTGAGACCCTGTCTCAAAAGAAAAAATAAAGAAAGGGCTAGGGATGTAGCTCAGTGGTTAAGCACCCTAGGATCCATCCCTGGTACCAAAAAAGAAGAATATATTAAAAATATTTAAATGTATTTTTAATCGGCCAAGGGTTGATCCTGTGTATTTCTGATGTGTGTGATTTTTGATACATGCATACATTGCAGAATGATAAAATCAAGCTAATTAACACATCCATCGCTTCATGTACTTATCATTTTTTGTGATGGGAACTTCCAAAATCTACTCTTAGTGATTTTCAAGTGTACTGGACGTCATCTTTAATTTCAATCACAGTAAATCTCCAGAATATAACCCTCCTTACTGAAACTTTGTATCCTTCCCTACTCGGAGTTTCAAAACCTTCAGGTGACAGTGACAGTTCAGCTGTACAGATGTGTTTCATTCGTCCGAACCTTCTCTGAAGGGAGACTTTGTTCCTGCCCATGTTTTTGCGGGGGCACTTCGTGGCTGAATGGGTTCAGCCATTCTTCCCGTTCGACACCCCCTCCTAGGTGGTTTCTCCCATCCCCAGGCCTCCCTCCCTCTTTCCCAGAACACCCAGGACCACGTGGTGTAGTGAAACACCTTCTTGAGGCCCCGAGCACCCCACCGAGGAAGGTGCCAGTCACATCACGGCAGGAAGGAAGGGGAGATACTCCCTCCAAAGAATGCACTCCCTTCTCTAGTTCTCTCCATGAAAATGGAGTCATTTCCTGGGACAGGTAAAAGTAACGTGGTTTGCAATTCTGTCCTGTATTTGCACCTTGCTGTGGAGCCTGAGTCCTGGCGGGCCATTTCGGGCTGTCTTGATAACTCCACTCTGACACTAAAGAAACCAGCCACCACCTGGTAAAGTGCCTTCCGACCCAAAGAGATGTATCTGCATGGCCTGGGAGGAGCCAGGCTGAGACTGGATGAGACTTGTCTCTGAAAAGGAAAATTCACAGGAGCATCACAAAGATGAGGTTTCTTCGTCTTGAGTAGATTTCTGTCCAGGAAAACATTCTTGGACCCTCAAAGGAAAAAAACTGTGCGTTTAGCAACTTTCTTTGCCAAAGGGGAAATTTTTCTGTTTTGGTTTGTTTGTTTGGTTTTTGGTTTTTTTGCAATACTGGGAATCAAACCCAGGGCGCCTCACATACGTGGGCAAGCACTCTACCATGGAGCTGCACCCCAACCTAGAAAAAAAATTTCTATTAGTGCATTATAGTTATACATATTATTAGGGGTCACTTTGACATAATTATATAAGCATTCAATATAATTTGTTTCAGTTTAGTCCTCAGTACTTCTCCTTTCCCTCCCCACCTGCCCCCACCATTCCCTTCCTATATTCTACTGTAGTCTTTCTTCTATTTATACTATTTTAAATTAGTGCCTTATGGGGCTGGGGTTGTGGCTCAGTGGTAGAGGTCTCACCCGACACATGTGAGGAACTGGGTTCAATCCTCAGCACCACATAAATTTAAATAAATAAAATAAAGGTATTAAATATTAGTGCTTTATGGATATATATAAAGGTGAAATTCAATATGGTATATTCAAATGTGGATATAGGAAAATTTGGTCAGATTCATTTCCTATTCCTCCCTTTTTAAATGTCCCATGCAAACACTTGGTTCCTGCAGCGGGAACATCTTAAATCAGAATATCCAAATCATTCAGAGCTTTTGAATGTCTTATCTGTTAAGAAACTATACTTTCTTTTTGGGATATTTAAGATTAGATTCCTTTAAGAGAAATGCTTTTAAACTTTATAAGCTATGATGCAAGAATTTGATGACATCTACTTTCAGGCATTAGGTGCATAACAACAGTTCTTGCAAATAACCCCTAAATTTAAATATAGGGTATTCCCAGGAGGGGTTGGGGAGCTTTCCTGCTCTGTTTATTTCCTTTTTCAGAAAAAATTAGAGTAATTTATGATGAGAACAATTAGAACTGTTCAGACCCAAAGACCCCCACCCAGGATTGTCATTTAGTTTGATACCTTAAGTTTGTACATAGAAGCCCAGGGGTGAGCCCTTCAGTTACCCCACTGTGGAGCCCCACAGTCCAGGCAGCGGCCCCTCCCCAGCTCCAGAGAGGAAGCCAGCAGTCTTGTTTCCCAGACCCAGTTTCTAAGAATCTGCATCTTTTCTGTGGTGCCTTCTGTGATTTCTCCCCACCGTCACCTGAGAACGTGTTATGGTCTGCTGTTTACAGTGGAACTCACTGTCCTTGTCTCTGTTTTCCTGCAGAATTCATCCAAAGCTGCCCAAGCCCCGTCTCCGTGGGGGGCCAGTGGAAAGTAAGTTCACTTTTCCCCAATGCAGTAAGCCAGGCAGTGAGTGCATGGTGCTTCCTGTGCCCTGATGGGCTGCCCCGCCTCGCCTGCTCCCGACCTCTCCACTCTGGTTTTTCTACCTCTCCCATTCCAGGAGCACTGGAACCCCATCCCCCATGTCTCCCAACCCCTCTCCCACCAGCTCCGTGGGGTCTCAGGGCAGCCTCTCCAGTACCAACGCCCTGTCCCCATCGACCATCGTCAGCATCCCGCAGCGCATCCATCAGATGGCGGCCAATCATGTCAGCATCACCAACAGCATCCTGCACAGCTACGACTACTGGGAGATGGCAGACAACCTGGCCAAAGAAAACAGAGGTGTGCATACTGCCCCTAGGTGGGGACCTGCCGAGGCTGGGGAGAGCCAGACCTGGGAATCACTGCTCAGCTTTACGTGGCCTTTCAAAGAAACAGAAGCTGTCATCTGCCGTGTGATACCTTTCCTGATCTTTCCTCTCACTCAGAGCCTTGAGTGTCTTTATTTACCTTTATCCTTACTGTGGAAGATGGTGTCACACACATCAGATACAGATACAGGCGCAGGTGCAGATAAAGGTGCAGAAACAGATACAGGTGTAGATACAGGTGAAGGTACAGATGCAAGTGTAGGTACAGATACAGGTGCAGGTACAGATACAGGTGTAGGTACACATATAGGTGTAGAAATAGGTATAAGTACAGTTACAGATACAGGTATACTTACAGATACAGGTGCAGGTACAGATACAGGTGAAGGTACAGATACAGGTATAGGCATAGATACAGGCGTAGGTACAGATACAGGTGTAAAAATAGGTATAAGTACAGGTGCAGACACAGATACAGGTGTACTTACAGATACACGTGCAGTTACAGATACAGGTGCAGTTACAGATACAGGTGTGAGTACAGATACAGGTGCAGGTACAGATACAGGCGTAGATACAGGTATAAGTACAGATACAGGCATAGATACAGGTGGAGGTACAGATATAGGCGTAGGTTCAGGTATAAGTACAGATACAGGTGGAGGTACAGATACAGGCATAGATACAGGTATAAGTACAGATACAGACATAGATACAGGTGCAGGTACAGATACTGGTACAAGTACAGATACAGGTATGGGTACAGATACAGGTGTAAATATAGGTATAAGTACAGATACAGGTATAGGTACAGATGTATAAGTACAGGTGTAAGTACAGATACAGGTAAGGTATAGATCCAGGTACAGATACAGATATAAGTACAGATACTGGTGCAAGTACAGATACAGGTATAGGTACAGATACAATTGTAGGTACAGATATGCATATAGGTACAGGTACAGATACTGGTGCAAGTACAGATATAAGTACTGATACATGTGCAGGTACAGGTATAAGTACTGATTCAGGCATAGGTTGGGCACAGATGCAGATGCAAATACAAGTGTAGATATAGTACAGATACAGGTATAGGTACAGATACAGGAGTAGATACAGGTATAGGTATAGACATAGTCAGAAGTACAAATACAAATATAGGTACAGATATAGGTATAAAAATATATACATTTTTCCCTTTAGACAATAAACAGCTACATGAAGGTAAAGATTATATTTCATTCGGCCAGAGGCTGAGGCAGGAGGATCACAAGTTCAAAGCCAGCCTCAGCAATTTAGCAAGACCCTAAGCAACTTAGTGAAACCCTGTCTCAAAATAAAAAATTAAAAAGGCTAGAGATACAAAAAAAAGAAAAAATATACATATATATATTTCATTCAAATTTGGACTCCTGAGACCCAGCCCAGTGCCTGAGACCCAACTGGAGCTCTGAAATATCCACTGAATGAGTAAATGAATGAATGAATTAGGGTTAGTGCTAGCTCCCTAAGTGCCTGCTGCTGACAACTGAAAAGAGAACCCATTTTATGTGGAATGGTAAAGCTGAATTTTTAAATAATTTTTTTCTGATAATAACAGTCATGGGTGTTTTCTGTGGCTAAATTCGTGAAGCACAATAAATCATAAAGAAAAAAAGTTCTTAAGTCATCAGTAATCTTAGAAATGACTTACAAATAAATCACATTGTACCAAGTTTCTTTTAGCCTTTCTTCCCAAATATGCATTATTTTTACCAAAGTAAAATCATAGTGAATATAGTTTTAAATCCTTTTTTCACTTAACATTGTAGCAAGCATTTTCTCATGTCATTAATTTGCCAAAAAACTCTGTAATCATACTGTAATGCTACCATAACATATTGGTTTTATGATCACAAAATATGATATCGTGATATTTGTTATCACAGTGTTAGATTTTTTAGGTTACTTCAAATTTTTTTCCACTGTTGGTAGAAAACACTCCCAATGTTTTTCCATATCCTGATAAGAATTTCTATAGAAGTCATTATCCATATTTCTGGTTATTTTCTTTGGGAGAATAAAATAAAAATAGAAGTAGAAATTTAGGGTCCACAGGTACAGATTATTTTAAGATATATATAATTTTATATCTTAATATATATTGTTACCTTTTCTCCTGAAAAATTTTATCAAGTTACTACTCTCTCTCCAGCAACAGGTAAGAGTACAAACCTGAGTTCACTTTCAGACCCCTGAATGAAAATTATGTCTCTATGACAGCATAAACCTTTGAGGTCAAGAGCAGCATGTCCACAGTGAAATGAGGAATGGATGACAGATGAATCACCAGTGCAGGAAATTGTTAATAAAACCAGAGAGTCTATAACATGCAGCCAAGCTGGTGCCCCTGGGAGTCCAGTAGGAATGTCATGGTGGTCAAAGGCCACCAGGAGCAGCTCATTAGAGGAGCTAGAATGGAACAGGGTTTTGAAAATCACATAGCAATTGCATGGTTGAAGTGGGTTGAGGTGGGTTTCCCAGGGAGACAAACAGGAGGAATAAATATATAGAAATATGTCCAGCCGGGCACAGTAACGCACATCAGTAATTCCAGTAGCTCTGGAGGCTGAGACAGGAGGATCATGAGTTCAAAGCCAGCCTTGGCAAAAGCAAGGCTCTAAGCAACTCAGTTAGACCCTGTCTCTAAATTAAAAATACAAAGATAGGGCTAGGGATATGGCTCTAAATATACATGTCCACTTTGGAAAACCCTGAGTGAGCCAGGCTCTAGATGGCAATACAAGCCATCCTCAGCACCACATAAAAGTAAATAAATAAAATAAAGGTTAAAAAAAAGAATCCTTTTTAAAAAAAAGAAAAAGAAATAGTAGACGTAGTTTATTTATTTGGGTATAGAATGAGTCCCCCACCCTTGGATCTTATTTTGTTCAAGGGTATGCAGAAGTCACAAGATGGACAGGAGATCTGTGATTTTGTCGGACCATAATAGTCCTGAGGAGAAGTAGCACACCTAGCCTGTGTGGCACCCTTAACCACTCTCTCTGTCCCCTAGAATTCTTTAACGACCTGGATCTGCTCATGGGGCCTGTCACCCTGCATAGCAGCATGGAGCACCTGGTCCAGTACTCGCAGCAGGGCCTGCACTGGCTACGGAACAGCGCCCACCTGTCGTAGGGACCTCGCCCCGGAGCCCAGCTGTGCTCTCATCTCCAAGATGGCTCCATGTTTCTGGACACTGTGCTGCTGAAATTCCCAGCCACAGCATTTGTCAAGCTGCATTGAACACTTCCTCTGCATCAAGCAATGATCTTTTCCCAGGGCATGTGTGTCTTCACGTGTGGGTGTACAAGAAGCTGCCTGTGTACGTAAGATACACAGTGCTTCGGAACACAGATTCTTTGTCTGGTTTCCATAATCCCAGGCTAGACAATGTGATCAGGAGTTCCCGATTAGAGGAACTACACACACACACATACACACACAATCACACACACTTCCTTTTCCAATTGCTAAACCATGACTTCTCCAAAACTTCAACCAAAATCTAATGGGTTAGTTCACCAGGTGCAATACAGCACACCAAAAGCTTAACTGCCAGTGAAGATGAACCTGACTCTTATATTATTGATTACTTTCAGTATTAATATGCTATTTCCCAATTATTTTTGATGGGTGTGTATTAATGGGTAATTGAATAATGAAAACAAGTCAGTTATTTTTGTGCCAGAAGTTTACTAGATTGCATGTGACCAAATCCCCAGCCCTTCCTCTAATACCCCCTTCAACATTATTATCAACCAAACGCATCGTAAGCAAACGGATGGGTTCACACAGCCTTCCCTGACCAGCCCTCCAACCCCCCAGGGTATGACAGCGGCCACTGGGATTCAGTGACAACTCAGTGTCTTTGAAAATACACACACACACACACACACGGGAGCAACAGCCACTGTGCTCTGGAGCTGGGCTGGGAATTTAAATGTGCACTGTGACAACAAGCCCTCCAGGCACGTGCATTTCTTCCTCCTGCCACTGTGACTTGGTGGCTGTAGAGCCATGTGGCTTTTGTCAGCCAGTACATTTCAAGTCTTTTCTTTCCATGGTAGCTTTCTTGCGAAATTTCTTGGCCAAATGGGGACATTGCCTAGAACGTCCCTTCTCTAGCAGTCCATCTGCTGCCTATCAGACTGAGAGCTCTCTGCTGTCCTAAGGTGGTCTGATTCTCACTCTCTGTGTAGAATGGGCCACCGCTGGCCTTGGCTGCGTTTTGATTTGGGGGATATTTTTAATCAGGCTTTGATTAGCAAGCTGCTTCTGGTGCAAGGGAACTTATTCCTGCACCGATTGCCATTCTGTCTGAGGTAGCACTGCCCAAAGCGTCTTGCTTACGTCTTATGCATCTAGTATGTTTACGTCTTGCCTATGGCTCTTCTTTGCTTTGCTTTTTTTTCCTTTAATTAAGTTTACATTTTAGTTTTTTGACATCTTGTTTACAGTTTTTTTTTTGTCTGAATTTTATTTGTTTGGTAGTATTTTTGTCATGTCCTAGATTTAGTCTTCTTGTTAAATATATTTGGATATGAAATACTGGTAAATAGAAAATGACTCCTCAAAGTTAGGGTCTGTCTTGCCACCCTGTAACCACAAAGAGGATGTCCTTGAGGCCCCTTACTTGACAGAATTGCACCAGGACAGTCTGAGAAAGACAAGCGTTGCAATCTATGAAACAATCCCTTGTTCAAGGTGATGGTGGCACCCACGTGCTAAGACTGATATTTTTGCAGGTTTGGTTGCAGTGATAACATTTCGTTAGCTTGGTCTTGTGTGAGTGGGAAATAGGATATCTACAACTCATGTTCTAAGCCACTGATGCAAAACTGGACAAGAGATTGACCAACTTTGGTGATTTGGATTAATTAACAGCAAATGAAGCACCTGTGAAGTTTGCATTTGACTTTGACCTTCAAGCACCTGAAAATACTCACAGTTCAGGTTGAGCATTCCTCCTCCAAAATACATGGGACCAGAAGTGTTTCAGATTTCAGGTTTTTGAATATTCACATACACACAATGAGATATCTTGGGGAGGGGACCCAAATCTAAACTGAGATTCGTTTAATGTTTCATGTACTCCTTAGACATACAGCCCAAAGGGGATTTTATACACATTACCCGAAGGTGATATTTTAAGTATACCTGTGTTTTGACTGAGACCTGTCACAGGAGGTCAATGTGGAATTTTCCATTTATGACATCATAGGGACATTCAAAACATTTTAGATTTTGGAGTATTTTGAATTTTGGATTTTTATATGAGGGATTCTCAACCTGAATTTCCATCTTAAATTTAATTTACCCAAGTGAAGTTCTTCTTAAATCCCTTTCACTAATTGTTGGCAGAGTTCATGATCCCATCTTTGGCTGGATTTTTTATTTTGTTACCAGGGATTGAACCTAAGGGTGCTGTACCACTGAACCACATCCCCAGCCTGTTTTTTTTTTTCTTTTTCCTTTATTCCTTTTTTTTTTTTTTCTTTGAGACAGAGTCTCACTAAGTTGCTCAGAGCCTTGCTAAGTTGCTGAGGCTGGCTTTGAACTTGCAATCCTCCTGCCTCAGCCTCCTGAGTTGCTGGGGTTACAGGCATGCACCACCACTCCCAGCTGGAAACTTTAATCCAAAGAAATATCTGATCTTTTTTTTTAAATTCTACTTACTCTGAGTGAATGCAGATGAAAAGTTTAAGCTTTCACATAAAGTGGCCCTTGGTATCTGCTGTGCATCCCCAGGGAGCTTTCCTGCTCCTGCCTGGCTTTAAAGTTGCAGGCTTTATGGAGGCACCTCTGAGATGTGCTTCCCTGAGAAGCCCAGAAGGTGACCTCTGGGTGGTTGAGCCAGCAAACGTTCAAGCAACTGGGTGATGATCCACACATTTCTCATCAACACTTCTAGAACCTGATCATTTGGGGCGATGGTCAGAGCATTAAGGCCTATCAGTGTCTCTCTTTCCATCTACAGAGTGTGTCAGGCAGCAGTTCCTATTGGGTTTGGCGTAGGTGATTTTGATAAGGACCCCTCTTCTAATTGTTGCTTCTGATATCATTCATAACTTGTTCTTTTTCCCTAGTTTGGTTCCAAGTTGAAGCATCTTTCTTGTATTTCCCGATTATAAATGTGGTACCTGTTCATTGTAAATATTGAGACGGGTGTGGTGGCGCACACTTGTAATCCCAGCAGCTCGGGAGGCTGAGACAGGAGGATAGTGAGTTCAGAGCCAGCCTCAGCAACAGAGAGGTGCTAAGCAATTCAGTGAGACCTTATTAAAATACAAAATAGGGCTGGGATGTGGCTCAATGATTGTTGAGTGCCCCGAGTTCAATCCCCTGTATCCCAAATAAAAAAAAATTGAAACAATGCAAAAAAGTAGAAACTAGTGTCAGTCTCTGATTGTCTCAACCCCCTGAGACAACCATGGTTCATGGTTCGATGTCTATCCTTCCAGAGAGTCTTGTGTTTAAACATATAATGTCTTCTTTCTATTTGAAGACACGTTCTTTCCTCAGAAGTTCAACATAGGTTCTAATGACCTTGTCAGCCATGACCTGAATGGGTGCCACCCTTTTGTTACAATGTTAGAACTGTCTTTGAGAGAGAGCAGCCCAATTATATTCCTGATCAGACTTTGGCATTAGTTAATACTCTACACAGATCAGACTCATGTGCAGAATTGTGCCTGGAGGGAGAGATTTGGTTAAAACAGATATTTCTGGAAACTTTCAAATTTGCGAATGGAAACTTGGACCTACTATCTAAAAAAGAATGTACTGGAAAAATAATCTGAAGAGTTGACAAATTGTGTGCTAGATTGAACACATGGAATGCAATGCAATGAGATTTTTTTCTGTGCCGAAACCTGTACAACAATGATGTGTGTATTATATAACAGTGATGTGTACATTTCTGACACCCCATACATAATATGCACAGTTTGTATAAATGCATACATTTAAAAATATATATGTACAATACAGCTAACATAAAACTATAGTACGCCTGACGAATATTACTAGTGCCTAACATTGAGTATAAGTCACTGCGTGTTCAAATCACCTTGGAAGTGCAGTCATTGTTATAAAATTAATCAGTGAAGCCAACGTTATTTATGAACCACATCTTTGAAACTGTGCAGTAGCATATACATATATATTTTTAAATAACATTTTTCACAGTTTTCCAGAGTTACTGTTGAAATCTGTATCACCAAAAGAAAAAAAAAAGGCAAGATTTTTTTTAATGATGTAGACACTCTTCAGACCCAGTAATCTGCGTGTGATTTCCTGTTTGTAGATACCCAAGAGACTTCAGCGGTCACCAGCCTTAATGCATGTACAGGATATTATTGTGACTTAATTTATCTGCAGTTTTTAATCCATGTGAAATTGGAATTTATAAACGGACTTGGATTAAATATGTCTGCCTTTCTAAGGTTGCAAACGTTACATTAAATGATTTATGTTGTAAATGAGAGAAATCGAGTTGTATGAGGAAAAATGTCCACCAGTTTCTGTGAATATGTTTGCAAAACATATTGAAAGATGTTCACATCAGAGGTCTGGTTCCCAACTCATCATCTCTTTAGAAGCAGCCTTTTTTCCTGACTGTCCTCAGCATGGCTTCCATGGATTATCTTTGCTAAGTCTGATAATTTTTCACAGAAAAAAAGTATGTTTTTTCTTTCATTATGACTATAGTTTACTACCTGTCTTTCCCATGTCCCAACACGTGCGCACGCGCACACACACACAGGTGAACATCCTCCAGTGTCCCAGGGAACGGTACCTGAGAGGCTACAGAAGCTGGTTTGTGATTTCCTGGGTGCCTGTCCAGGAGCAGCCCTGGGACACTGTGCTACCAACATTTTTTAACATCACAAGCCAATTCCTAGCTCATGTGCCAGCCTTTTCCAGTTCAAACCAACATGGTGGACTCGTGAGAAATACTTGGTCGAGAGAATTGGGAACTAAAGACAAGGAAAATGTTAGTTAGACCCATGGCCTGACATGATACTGCCCCTGTGTGGGATGGTTGTTTTTGTTTTGTTTTGTTTGGGGCATTTTTGCTTTTTTTTTTTTTTTTAATTTGGTATTAGGGACTGAATCCAGAAGCATATTACTGCTGAGCTACATCCCTAGTCCTTTTTATTTTTTTATTTTTGAGACATGGTCTCTCTAAGTTGCCCAGGCAGGCCTCAAACTTTCGATCCTCCTGCCTCAGCCTCCAGAGTAACTGGGATT